GTAAAGAACTTAAATATAAAGTTAAATAAATACTTTAAATAAAATTTAATAAAGAAACCTAATAGCTAAAATATCTTATAAAATAGAAAAATTATAATAAAGCTAATAACACTTAAAAACCTATTAAGCATCTTAAACACTTAAAGGCCTTAGTTAATAATTTTTATTAGCAGTTAAACCTGTAAAGGTTAATAAAGAAGGATTTAACTTAAATTAAGACTAATTAATAAAGTTAATAAAAGAAGCTAGGACATTAGAATTTATTAAATTAAGCATAGATGCTATTACTTAATAAAAGGCCTCTGCCTCTTTACACTTAATATAATCTAGCTTTTTTAAATTTATAATACCTTATATAATAGTATAATATATCTGCTTATACTATAATCATTTCTATTTTTAAAGTTATAATACCTTTACAGCTACCTTAGTAAGAGCATCCTTAATAAACTTAAGCTCTTCTTCTAAATAAAAATGCTAAGCAGATACTTAGTTAAGCTAATTAGCAGTAAGACCTTAAATATTATAATAAGATTTATTTAGTTATATATATTTAGAATAATATAATAAATTAATAGTAGATAAAAGATATTCTTTAAAGTCTTTAGAAATGTAAAAGGAATAATGCTTATCTATTTTCTTAGCGCTATAAATAATAAAATTAAAAAGACTCTTATGCTTTTTTATTTTTAAATAAAGACTCTTTCTCACTCTTTTTATTATTATTAAAAATAAGTTAGCATATAAATAAAATAAAATAAAAAGATAAAAAACACACTTATTAAAGAGCAGGGCACTTATAGGATTATATAAGAATACTAGGCAAGGCCTTAAGGACAAGGCTTATAAGAGGGGGACATTATATTATAACCTAATACTTATAGTTATAACTAAGGACTACCCTTAGCAGATAGTACTAAATAAATATTAAACTAATTAGCTAATTAAGAATAAATTATTAAATCCTTTAATAATTTAAGGGATAGATTATCTCTTATATAAATAATCTAGGAATAGGATTATTTAAATATTAAATAATCTAGACAGGATAACTAGCTATATAAGGATTTATTTATAACACTTATTTAAATAGTTTAGGTAGATAGTTATTAATATAGTAATTAGATTAGAATTAGTTTATTATAATCTACTAGCTATATAACTATTTACTATGCCTAAGACCTAACCTAACTTTCTACTAATATAAACCTAAATAGCTCTCTTAATTAAAGCTATTTACTTAAACGGTTTATCCCTTAGGAAACATGTGTTCTTACTAATTATAGGAACGCTGGTTTATTATAAGTTTATTATATTTTTCTTTTCTTTTTTAACCTTTAGGTATAAAGCACCTGTAGATTTTATTAATTATAAAAACCTAGTTTATTATATTATATATAGCTAGTTTTTATAAGCTTAAAGGTAAAATTAAATAAAAAAGAGAAAAACCTTTTTACTTAGTTTTTCTCTTCTCTTTTAACCTTAGGTATAAAGCACTTATATACCCTCCTTTACTTTATAATATCTCCTTAATAATAATAACCTTTAGTATATAATACTATATCTTAATACTTAGGCATAAGATATATTACTTTAAGAGTTAGTTTAGTTAGTAGTATAAACTACTATAGTTTAAATAGGAATTTATTATAGTGTAAATAGGAGGACTCTTTATTATAGTAATCTATACCTTACTTACTTTCTTTAGTAATTCTTCTATTATATTAAACTGCCTTCTGCCTTCGGGCTGCTTTGCAGGTAATGTTGTGAGTATTAATTGAGCTGTGGGAGCTCTCTCTAGAGTGAGCTGCAAGCCTTGATAAACAAGCGTTTGCATTACCTCCAGGCGCCACTTGAAATCTGAGAAAGGCAACTCCCCTTTGCATAAATAACCGATAACAGGAGGGTTATTGGCATCCGCGCCAGCAGCAACAAGCGCTTTAACTGCTGCCACTTCTTTTTCGCCGTATTGTTCCTTCTTGGCATAAGCACCTTTTAAGACAGGCGCTGGGGTTCGGGAGCCGCAGATGAGAGAGAGAGCAGTGAAGCTGAAATGGTTCTCAGTGTCCTTTATCTGATAGCGCCGATTGACGTTTGCTCCAGCAGCGGCGAGTATCTGTATCATCTGGGCAGACGTGGACCTCAGTCGTCCTTGATGGCAAGCGACCATCAGTGGCGAGGACGAGCCTTCTACAAGGCGCTCCTCTTCTGCAGCAGTCCTGAGTCGATACCGCGTTGTTCTTTCGATTTCGACATCGGCGCCGTTCTCCACGAGCAGTTTGGTAGATGGAATGTCTTCTCGCGCAATTGCGTGCAGTAATGGCGTGAAGCCAGTTGCGTTCTTACGACAGACATCTGCGCCAAGCTCAATCAGCGCTTTGGTAGCATCCCCCGTTGACAAGTACAGAGGAAGCATCTGAGCGCCATATTCAATTGCGGTGGGATCGTTGACATCTGCACCATATTCGACAAGTAGCCGGATAAAATCCGCCAATCCGAGTGCGGACGCAATATGGATTGGTGGACAAATGTCGGGCAAATCAGACTGAACGCGACTCTTGTCTAGGCACAGCTCCGAATTGTATCCCAGCGCGGTGTCGGCTCCTTTCTCGAGAAGATGTCGTGCAATAGCCAAATTCCCACACACAATCGCTGTCGCAAGAGGGGTAAGCCCAACCGCTGAGAACTGGTTTATCAGGCTTCCTGCTTTCACAGCTTCCTTCACCTCCCCCAAACTGTTGTCTCTGATTAAACGGTGTAAGTATTCGGCCATGATGTTCTATGGAAGAAGCACAAGAGTCGGCGAGAAAGGTGTGGCTGTTGGCTGGTAGAAAAGAGGTGGTTATTAGTGAGCTGATAAATTTCAGCAGGAACGTTACGTTTATATAGGTATTGGAGAGAGAGGATCATACTAAGCAAGAGCTGGACTCGCTTTTGGCACCACGCACAACACAACGCAATGAAAGAAACAAAACTCGCAAAAATCATAAAAAGTTGTTTTTCCTCGTGTGCTGCATTCCAGATTCATAACGAAATAATACTCTGTCTATTCTACTAGTACATATTTGCTGGCATCCTTCTAGCACCGGGCGGCGCCCGTAGAGATACGAATTGTTCTTCGGTAAAGTATCCTTTAGGACGCCATGATTTGATGCTATCGTAGGACTGGCATTTACGAGATATATTAAAATCCACAGCTGCGTTGTCGAACCCTTCCACCCAGAAAGCTGTGTAAAGGTTTACACTCCATTTGCATCGTAGCGTTTGTAGAACTGTCTGAAGACATTGCAGAGCATCGAGTTCCACTTCGTCAGTCTTATTACCAAAGTAATAATCTACGTATGCAAACCTTCGTAACCGGTCCAGGCAGTAAATATCACGCTGGCCTTGGCTGATGGCAAGATATTGGTTGCTACCCATGCCTGGAGATAGGAATATTAATACCAGAGCAAAAGACCACTGCCAATGTCAAACGTACCCCATTGTTCTGGTGCCTTGACGGCATAGTCCGGATCTTTGCCCATTCGACGAACTTCATGCTCTTCGATTAGGAAGAACCTGCCGCCATCGTATAAAGTTTGCCATGCCTGGTCGACTTCAGGGGATGGCGGCTCTGCATAGATTGAAGGACCTCCTGGGTTATGTCGGTTCAACAACGCGGCCTTCATCCAACCTGTCTCAAATGTGACTGTGGTACGATCGAGCAGTGGCGCTGATGGGCGGTATGTGAGCAAATAAACTTTGAAGTGGTAATAGGCCGGACATTACAGTAAGAATTTGTGGCTACGACGAGATCGTGCCCATCCAGATGTTTGACAGCCAAGAGAGAATAGAAGGAGACAGCAATCGCGAGACTGAAAAGGCAGACGTCAACTGCAGCACCGATTCGAAGCCATTGAGTGAATAATGGCTGAGCGTCCGATGAAACTACGACTCCCCCTTCGAAGTCGTCTCGAACAAGCCTATAACGACCTTTAGTGTCCATATTCAGCAAGACATGTGTCGAATTGCGAACAACGTCAAAGGATAGATGGAGTCGAGGGAAATTGAGAGCACTTCGTGTAAGGCAAGTCGTTGCAGGCACAAAAGTGGGGATTGAGATTTAACAGGGGTGGCCTTGGTCATGCTGCAGGAGCCGATGATTGCAACGCTGACTCTATCTGTGCGAAAAAAAAATCCCAGCGCTTATACAAAGTACCGGGGGCTTGGTCTAAGCCGTGAAAAGCTTATATCCGAAGGAGACGCCGGGGTTTACATGGATACCTCTGGGTACATACGTCTCGCCTTGACTGATTTACTAAGAAAATGACAGGTTCGTGAGTCGCAACAAGCCGAGATACCGGGTCAAACATTCTCACGGGTCCCGAGGTTACAATCATTGACGTATTGGGCGCGAACTTTGTCTTAGCTTCATATGTCGCCAGCACAAGGATTTGATCCTTCAGCACAAGCCGGCAGAGAACCAACGTAAAGAGATATTTTGGCGAGGCATGCATATTAGGGGTGTGCAAGTCACGATGCTTGTGTTGCTACTCGAAGAAAGCTGCAGCCTATAATGAACGTCATGGATGGGTTATACCATGAGAGATCTCGTTTTCTGTCACGAGCCACAAAGGTTCAATGCATAAATAGCTCGATGTGCATCGACAAGGATTATTGACCTGATAAGGTGGAAGCCTCTGGTCAGTAATTACGCGAGCTTTCTGCGCCACAATTCTCAGAGCAAGATGGTGAAATTTGTAGAATAGCAGTCGTGCTTCGATCTCGAAATCACCTAATACATGAGATAATTGGGAAAGGCTTACGTTCTATCGAGTCCTCGTCATGAAGGATCATTGACTGCAAGTCGAATCCATTTGCCATTCAGATTGAAACTGTTCCAGTACTGATACTCGTATGATATCACAGCAGCTTCTACAGTGCAAGCTCATTGATACAGTCATGGCTTCTTTCATAGAAGTAAGAGCGTCCAAATGCTGGCTCTACTTCATCGCCGTCGCTGAGGGCCTTGTCTTCTTCATATCCGTAGTAATGCTGCTGTCCTCTTGGCGGCGTCTCACTCATACACCTTCTGACCACGAGCTCGTTGTCTGGTCTAATACGTATTGTAGGCTTATAAAAAGGTTTCAAGCTTGACATTGAAAGCTCACAGGTTCATTCAGCACCCCTTCTCGACCGCTTGACGGTCCATATGCGCGACGTACAGCTGAACAGTGCGTTATTCAATGAGCACAACACGCCGCCCTCTATCCATCGACAAAAGCCTTCGTTGGATGTCGATGCTGCGTGGACATACTTGACTCACGGGGGCCGCAACTTTCTCATAACGGCCGATGAGGTTCGGAAGCTCGGAAAGGACCCTGAGACAGCAGCCCATATAGCAGACGTGAAAGGTCCGTTGAGCTGGTCTCTCGCAGTATGATGGCAGATAGCTGACTTTCTTAGCAAACGGAGATGAGAAATACTTTGCTTGGATTCAAGGCTCCCACGATATACATTGTCTGGACAATGTGCGCAGATTCATTTTCCGAGATCATTACTACGGCAAAGAGTTGCAAAGTCCTATAATAGAGGCGCACTTCCTGCACTGTCTGCGGACACTCCTGCTGTCGCTGCAATGCAAGTATAGCACAGATGTTTATCTCGCCAGTTGGGTGGAGGATCAGGATGCGCCTGTAGTAGACTTTAACATTACTCGCCGTTGCGTAGACTACGACGATTACTTGCACTGGGAGCCGAGCTCACAGAGGTCACACGTCGATTTTGCGACGACGCCTGTGCCACCGGATGCACTTCGAGTGAGTCAGGACATAGTTAGATAATATATTCAAGGCGTCATAACTTGCCCTCTATCATTCCATAAACGGAAATAATTGCCTCTCCGGCTGTTGTTGTGCTGAACTCGACAGCTGGTTATCTAGAGCATACTCGGTGCGTAGTATATGTTATAGAAGTCCAAGAATTTTATAACTTGTATTTACTCTGCAGTGTCTCCGAAGGCGTATAAAAACGTATCGAAATTGACAGCTATATGCACTTGGTTTATATGAAGGAAATAAGAAAGTCAGAGCAAGCTGTTAAGTAGTAGCTCAATTGATAAAGTATATTTGCATTTCACCCTTTTACACCTTTCTCAAGAGCTGTCCTGCACGATGCAATGCACGCCAGCGTCTAGTCATTTTTCGCATAATGTCTCCCAACCCTTCGCTAGAATACACTGGCAGGCTGCAAGTCTGCCCCAGGAGGAGCACGCAACTTGTAGAATTCTTTCTCCGAATGTTCTGTTTCTGGCGTCCATTCATTCATGTCTGCGTCATAACTGAGGCACTGGCGACTGATGTTGAAGTCGACAACAGCAAAATCCTGACCCTCAACCCATGCGGATAGGTAGATGTCTGTGCTGTATCTGCACTGAAGTGACTGCAATAGTGAATGCAAGCAGTGCATAAGATGCTGTTCCAGAGCCCAGCTCATCGTGCCGTTGAAGTAATAGTCTTTGAACATTCCCCGGCGTATCATATTGAGGCAGTGCAGGTCATGCGATGACTGAGTGATAGCGATGTACTTCTCTTCCCCGTTGTCTGAATGATCTATTGTAAGTATATAAGATATGGAGGAATGGTGGGGGAGAAAGCTTATACTCACGCCATTCATCAGGAGCTATCACGGCGGCCTTTGGATCTTTTCCAAGACGTTCGACCTCGTCTGCCGTAATCAGGAAAATACGTCCATTCCTGTGTAAATACTCCCAAGCTGCATCAACATCTTTTGATGGCTCCTGGCGAAGAATAGATGGTGGGGTGTTGTGGTTGTTCACAAATGCGCTTTTAAGCCATCTCTGTTCGAGGTGCAATTTGCGTCGGTCCAGAATGGGCGCTGAAAGTTGCAAACCATCAGTAATCCATAGCCTTGCTTGACTCTCTACTGTTACTTACACCACCCATTGATCGCTGTGATTAGCTCATGGTCTGTCGGTTGATGGAATATTTTGCTACAAGAGGCCCAGATGAGGGCGGATGATAGTAAGACGATACAGAGGTGAATGAGAAAGGCCAGTCCAATGTATCTAGTCAACCATGATTGGCGTGAGGTAGTCTTCATTATCTCGCGGATGCCAAAGTCAGTAGAAGGTATATAAATCTCAAAGTCTAGAAGGTTGTTAATGGTAAATCACTACTTACTGACGCTTTGGTTTTCTTCACAACTTCGTCAATCTCGATAGAATCCATGCTTTCTCGAGACTATGGATTGAACCCCAGGTATCACCTGTTGAAAGAACAAGGCACAGTGGCTCCGGACGCCCGCGCTCCTGAGTTGGTAGATTCAACTGCTCGCCCATCGATTTTGGTGTCAGCCCATACAACGCCGGGGTGCCATAATTCTGCATACGCGATAGTAAGAGTCTATCGATGGGACTTCTATCCGGTCATTCCTCTTTCATCAATGCTGACCAACATTCGAATCCTTCGATGCCGCCAGCTCCATGTTACATCGCCGATTAACCAACCTTAGTGCCTGCTTTCCTTACAGGGGAGGGGTAAAGGAGCATAAACTGCGAAGAGGGTGTGTAGATAATCTTGGAGTATGGTACAGTATGTTCGGCCGTACGAAAGTATTACACAGGCTAGCATACCCCGTCCTGAGAGGCGCAGGAAGTGGTCGATATGGTCTCAACCTCAACAACATGGATTCAAGGGGGCACTACGCGCCTCTCGGGAAGGATGAGATTGAGGTTGAGCGCCTCATTTCTGGTGAGAGCCGGCCAAGCAGCTCTGTTTCGGTGAGGAACCCCAGAACGGCTACTGAAACATCTTTTGCTAATGAGACGTGACCTTCAGACATTATGTGAAGTTACAGATTCTCCCCCTCAAAAGGTCTCACGGCTTTCCACGTTCTCGCGGATTTTCCATCAGCCAACTCTGTGGCTGGTTGTGGTTGACTGTCTCTTTCTTGCTGTCGCTCTCTCGCTTTGCATTTACGCATGGATCTTCAAGTCGCCAATGACGGATCACGAACTAGTTGTCGCAGTTAACGGTTACTGTTAGTCGCCAAGTGTCCTTCCAGTCCAAGACGTTATACATTTGCTAAAACCATCTAACAGCTCCTCTACTAACGCGGACCAAAATCGATTTGCATGAGCAACGGATCCAGACGCCCTTAATCAACGAGCATAATGTTAATGGTCCATCTATTTACCGTGAGCCGCCGTCCCCAGACGTGGACAATGCGTGGGAGCGCCTGCATAAAGGAGATCGTCTTTTTCTTGTAGGAGAAGATGAAGTTCGCCGTATCGGAAAAGACCCAAGTGTGTTGATTGAAGCACCTCTGGACTGGGGTGAGTGAGCGACTGCAGCCTTTGAAGCGTTAAACTGAGACTAACGCGGATGGATACACAGGTTATGGCGTCGGTCAGTATCTTGCAGCAAATCAAGGGCAGCATGACATTCACTGTCTGAACAAACTTCGAATGTGGATTTATGCAGAACATTACTATGGAGGCCGTGAAGCAGTACGCGAAATCCACGCCTTACACTGTCTCCATACCTTGGTTCAGACATTGCAATGCCGATATAGCACTGATGTGTATACCGCAATGTGGGTTGAGGGGTTCGATGCGCCAGTCATAGACTTCAATGTGACGCGCAAATGCATGAATTACGAAAATATCCTTCGTTGGGACCCAGAAAAACCATATACTGAGGAGCAATTTTTGGCACTCAAGCCACCAAGCGGCCAGAAAAGGATCCCTTCGGATGTTTACTAGTGCTCGCCTCAGTTACTCAATATATTTAGTGTGACACAGCTCGCAAAGTTAGATGACACTCAACGTAAGATTGTACCACAGAATCTGATTTGACTTGGTAAGAATATAAACACTATGATGGCATTCGCCTACAGGTACCTAGCCTTCTTTATGAGGAAGCTTCCTTGACTATTCAGACTGTCATCAGGTAGTCATCTGTGCTCCGAATTTAGCTGTTACATATTCTCTTCAAGAAGCAATTTGGCATTTTCACCTGAAAGATCTTGCCGTCACCTAAAAGAGCAGACTGGCGCTGAGCAAGTGACTGGAGAATGGTGTAAGGCACCCAAATTAGTTTGCAGGATCGATTGCAGTTGTTGATTTCTATTTTGGATACATTGAATTACATCTCTAATGACCATGCGGCTCAATGAAATCGGGGAGCTCTTCATGCTTCCTGGCCTGGTCAATTCTCCACTGATGCCAAAAAGCACGCCCCTCCACTGTCTCGTTCCATCCAGGCTGCCACTGTTTGAAGTATGTGTTGCCAGGGAAAGCGGCCCAGAAACCAGAAAGGTCTTCCCATGCGGTCTGGTCAAAGGGTGGGTTGTCGATGATATCCTGCCTCTCTTCCTGTGTGACTTCTTGTCGCAGGTCTGTGGCCTCGTGTGCTCGAGCCCACTCGACGATTTTGGAAAAGTTACGGCAGGTATGTGTTGTTTCGAGATTTGGAGCGAGCACGGCGCCGACAGGTAGATTGAGGCGCCAAGTGATGGGCGAGACATCTGCGTTGCACATGAGCGTGCTCCTAAGGATATCGATGCAGTGATCTAAAATTTTGTCAGATACTGTAGTTACGATGCCAGTAGCTGCTTCTCGTACCCCAGTGACGGAACTGCATGGTATTTCGGTTGACAGTGCCGTCTTCATTGTATTCCCACTTCTTGGGCCATCGTTCGGGATAGAATGCCTTTCGAATATCGTTAAGACAGTGAAGCTGGTGGAAGACCTCTAGCTGCACGAGATATCTATCGGTTCCTCTCTCGTTGATAGTGGGGAGCGCCAGCCGGCTCGCCTCCTCCTTTGTTATGGCACTGTCACCGTCTGTTTAACCAAGCATTGTGTCAGCTCCATCAATGCTGTACAGTAGAGGTTCTTTCGAGCTTACACTGATAGAGATCTTCCCACATTTTATCAATCTCGTCGTTCGGAAATCCCATGTATGGAGTCTTGGTCATAAATCCGGTCGAAATGTTCGTGACATGATACTCCACCAGATGATTCACAGGAGCTTTTCTACACGTCAGCCTTGTAGCTTAGGAGTATGATGAGACGCACAACTCACAATATATCCGAAGCGCAGGGTCGCTTTGTTTCCGAAGAGCCAGAAGTGTAATTCCAAGCACAAGTATGACATTTACAGCCACAGAGATAACCAGGGGCCAATTCTGTCTCGCAGAGTCCTGCTGTCGGAGGGCGTCTCCTGATAGTAGGCTGTAAGTCGACTCTTCATCGATTGAAGAGGCGGCAGAATCATCCTTGCTCCAAGACTCATTCCATGATTTGGTAAAGCGAACCCAGGATGCCTTTTGGCGGGCCATAGCTTCAAAATAAGACGTTTGATGAGGATGAACTATGGTCGATAGGACGGCGCCAAACTTCGAGTAGTTGCTGGTAGGGTCAATGAGGTTTTCGTGCTTCTCACAATGCAACTTATTGCAAAAGCTACTCCAGAGGGGTGTGTCTAGAACTCTGTCATGCACAAAGGAGGGGCCCCTCTGCTAGGGGCAAAAAGCCTAGTCACTCGGGTTGCGTTCAGCAGAGAACAAAAGGTCCAGCAAGGCTGTTGCAGATGGTCACCCGGGCGTTGTTTCAGTCCAGATAGTTGGAGAATCTCCAGACTTCTGAACTGCCCACAGGGTACGTACGCGATGAATCTTGATATCGCTTCCTGCTGTAAAAAATGATTAAGACGAAAGCTCCAAGATCGCCGCAGAGAAGTAGCTGGTACTTTGTCCTGCCATTTGCACACTCATACCTCCGGAGTACGCTTAGCCTACCTTACCTTGATAAGTAAATGTCTTTTATCAGCAAAAGCGCCTAGTACCAAAACTACTTCCACTGGATTCCTCCCGGCATAACCGAACCCGCTGTCATTTTGCAACCACATGTACACTGTATTCTGATTTCACCTTGAATCAACATCTGGGAGAGGGAGCAAGTTCGTTTGTGAGGAGTTCAGGGTTTCGTCTTGACGAAGAACTGCATATCAGTACCAACGCCTTGTTAGTAAAATGGTTTAATAAATACACTATTGCTCTCGCTGGTTCATTACTGTTGCTTTATCTTTAGTGAATTCTTCAGGGGCGACTGGATGAAGTCTCTTGCTGGTTTTGAGATGCCGATATGGTGTACAGGGAAACTTGCAGACTAGCCTCAAAGTGCAGACGTTCTCCGCGTTTCTGTAGTCTTCATCTTAGCGTACATTTACTTGCACCTGGACGGAATCGTAAAGAAATGCAGGTAGCTATTGTTGCGTCGCCCCTGCCAATTGATTGCTCAGGTCTGATCGTAGGATTCTGCAGTGTCATCTTTTCGCTACTCATGTGATAGGTCGAGCCAAGCACGCCATCTAGATATGATTACGCAAAGCGGAAATCGTTCTGGATGCGAAGCGGCAACGCTGACCAACCGCCTTTATGTATGATGACAACGAACAGCAGTCAACCATCACCACCTTGGACAGAATGTTGCCTTTTCAATCGGCATCGCCGACGCCTATTCTCAAGAACTTCTGTCTTAGCTTGGCTCTTTTAGGGTGGTACTTGAACAGGGCCATCGGGTTTAAGAAAACTAATGATAGGGCTAATACATACCGTTCTATAACATCTCTGGTCTTACACATGTCTGATATCACGTTTCTCGGAGAGAACCACACTCTATTGCAGCTCACATTAATCTGCAAGACGATGTACATGGTTAAGAGAGCGAGAGGCAACCGTGAATATACGAAGAGATGAAACAACGTAGTATGTGTCTACCTAGACTAGCTCTTTCTCGTCGCAAACTTGAACTAATCCTCGGCCCTCGAAGTCCAAACTCTTTGTGGATGAAACATAGGCATGCGTGGAGGAGTGTCTGATAGTCTGTAATACATAGTAATAGGGAAAGTGTGAGCAGCCAGGAGTCAGCTATTCGCTAGCTCGAAGAACCTGCATTCTACCAGTTCCGTTACGCCGAGTGCGTCTTCCAAGGAAGAACAGGGGCATCGATAAACTATCCCTCCCCTTGAGGAATGCAGCGTCACATTACTCTCTCAGCATGGACATACTCCACTAGCTGTGAGCTAAGCTCGGGGCCATTATTTGGCGACAAGACTATGTGGTAATTGATTCACAAAGGTGCTCTGGAAGGCTTATAAGGAGCGCCTGGCAATATCTTGTCATCCCCCCATGGGATTTTTCGACACTCATATCTCACCTCAGTTCCCAAAGTAACTTTCAACCTCTAATCAGTCACGTTCGTCAAAATGAAGCTGTCCATCACCATAGTTGCCATGGCTGCTCTAGCATCAGCTGCTCCTACCAAGTACGGCATCTCGCCATACTCTATTAGCGCGGTAATATCGAGACTTACTGAATCTTTGGAGTAGGCATATGGAGCGAAGCATCGATTCCTCTGAGGTGGCAGCCTACCAAGTCGATGCCTCTGTTGCTGGATGGGCTGAGGACAAGAAGCGAAACATTGACTCTTCCGAAGTTGCAGCTTACCAAGTCGACGCCTCTGTTGCCGGATGGGCTGAGGACAAGAAGCGAAACATTGACTCTTCTGAGGTTGCAGCTTACCAAACGGATACTTCTGTCGCGGGATGGGCTGAGAATAAGAAGCGCAATATCGATTCTTCCGAACTGGTGGCTTATCAAACTGACACCTCCGTTGCGGGATGGGCTGAGGATTGAAGACGTCTAGAAAGCGAGATATGATACAAGGACAGTGTATGGTCAATAGATGATGAACTTGAACTTGATCATAAGTTCCCAACTTCTTCATAGCCTAGTCTACGTATTCAATGCGTCTTGTCAGCGGATTGACTTCCCTGCTTGCAATTTCTCCTAAGAAGCGTAGTCTAATGTGCTGATGCAACATGCATTTCCTGGAAAGTTGTTACCAATTGACCCCAAAAATCATTTCGACCTTCTGAGAGCAGAAGATGCGGATTCATGCGTTTTCATCGGATAGCATAATGAATGCCTTTCTACCGAAAAGAGAAGGGTAGATGTTAGGTTCCGTTGAATGACAGGCTAATGTTATGTGGGCAACCTGCGATAGTACCCTTGACGGGGCGGCTTACTGGCAGTGGTTGCCAGCCACTCGGCAACAGTATACATAAGTCATCCTTCGCTAATAAACCGTACGTCAGACTAACAAATTCTTTTCCTTCGTATCAGTTGTTTCACAGCTGCATCTGAATATTTCTGGATCGAATGAAGTCACGGCTGGCAAGATGCATTTGTCCTTCCATTGCCTCACTGTCTCATGGCTTGCGATCGCCCAGCTCATCAGCTCTGAACCGACCAGCTCAACCGGTGTGGCTTCAGCGACTGCGCCGTGCGCCCGCGTCTCTGCCCTCTGGGCGGCTCAAAAGTCGAACTCTCCTCATGGTTCGCTCTCCGAATCTGATGCTTCATGGTGCCGCAGAGCTTCTCTGATTGAGTATAGCGACTCCCACAGTGGCTGCCGAGATTGCACACGACTGCCTGCGATCGATACCGCTGGGCAAAGATGCCGCCATTGAGCTGGTTGATGCTATGGTGCCCTACTTAAGTTGGCAGAGTGATTCGGCGTATAAGGCTCACCCTCCTGCGGGCTACCCATTCCCAGGTTGGCCCCATATCCCACTTCTTCAGGGCGATTGTAGTGCTGATGTTGTTGTTTGCAAAAGGCTACGACATCTTCGCCAACCTTGCTAAGATCAAGGCCGATCTGCAGGCAGACAAATACGACGGCGAGTACAGCTTTCAGCTTGATTTATACCTCAACGTCATCGCAAAAGGCCATGACGGTCATCTTCTATTCTACCCAGATGCTCTAAGCAGAGTCTTTTCTTTTAAACGGCCGACACCTCTTGTGTCCATCAGTGAAGACGGCGTGAGTCTTCCCGTTGTCAAGTTTTATGGTAGGCCGCGCCTCTTAGCTTGTGCGCAGACGACTCAAGTTGCCGATTTTAATCAGGATGATAGAAGACGTTATCATCAACGCGGATGCAGCCAGTAGCATTACGCACATAAATGGCATTAACGCAGCTTCTTATATCGAAGAGTTCGGATCGCAGGCTGTGGGGTACCAGGACAAAGATGCCATCTTCAACTCAATGTTTTTCTCGCTTGCAGCTCACGCTGTCCATCGTCGGACAGGTTTCTTTGCGCAAGGCGGCCGCACTCGATACCTCTATCCAGGTCCAATCACTATTTTTACTTTGGCGAACAAAAGTGAAATAGTCATCCAAAACGTGGCTTCAATTACAGCCAACTTGACGGGCGTTACTAATGGCGAGTCATTCTATGCGAAGTTCTGCAACCCAAATGGCTTAACCAGTGATGATGCTCGCATCACCGCTGGGACAACCGCCGCCGAAAGTACAAAACCCAGCCGTTCCGATTCAGGCATGTTGGGTTACCCTTCTCCGCTGGCAAGCACAAAAGATAAAGTTGCCTCGTGCTATTACCTTGAAGGCGATGGTTTTGACGATGTCGTTGTCATCTCATTGCTCGATATGATCACCGTCTCCATGGCTGAATATCAAGCTGTGGTTCAGAGGTGCATTAAGGACGCTGCTGGCTCGGGCAAGTCTAAACTCGTCGTTGATCTGCAAGCAAACGATGGTGGCTATGTAGTGTTGGGATACGACTTCTTCCGTCAGCTCTTCCCTCACATAGTCGGGAATGCGTTATCTCGCTGGAAAGAGAGCGATGGATTCTTAGCTGCGGCAGAGGTTGTGAATGACCGACTATTGGGCTTCAACCCTTCTGTCAATAATGATTCGGCTCTGCTGAGGGAGTGGGAATCGCCATTCAACTATCAAGCCGACTACAACATGAGCGGCAAACCATTCCCCAGCTTTGAGGACAAATTTCGACCGCATCTATACCAAAACACAAACTACACCAACCTCATACGGTGGAATTTCGATAAAGACGTACGCACGGGAAATAACAGGACTGGCGCCGATATTGAAGTTACAGGGTACGGATCTCCTTCCAATATTTCTCAGCCATTTCTCGCCGAGAACATCATTCTCCTCTATGATGGGGTGTGCGCCTCCATCTGTAGCATATTGTCGGAAATGCTTCGAACCCAGGCAGGTATTAAGTCGGTCGCGATGGGCGGACGCCCAATTGCAGGCCCTATCCAAGGAGTAGGCGGTGTCAAAGGTGCGCAGAGTCTGCGTTGGCAAGAGAGTAAGTGACTATCCAGGGCCACGATTCGCATAATCATTCCCGACACTTTGTTTCCCTCTGTACCAACTTCCAGAACGGCTTGACAAAACCTGACTCGGTGCCTTTTATAGTTCACAGCTATATGGCGCGTTACTTGCGCCATGCCAAGACCAATCATCAGGCAGCCGTCTTTTCCCAGTACTCGACATTGCCGCTTAACAGATCCAGTGCTGCTATGATCAATGTGCGGGATGCGGTTACGTGGGACCATGTCGACGATGGACTGCCCGCACAATACGTTGTTCACCATGCTGACTGCCGGCTGTATTGGACAGCTCCTATGATTACCGACGTGACGACAGTTTGGAAAGCAGCCGCTGATGTGGCCTTTAACAGTGCCGCATGCGTAGCTGGCGGTATGAGGCCAACACCTGCCAGCAGTCTAGAGCCTACCCGAAACGCTTTTGTGAATTTACTGTTGCAAATTTCTTACTTTTTCACATCCTATGTTATATAATCAGCTAGAAACAAAGGATCTCCTCACAGCATGGCTGTTTCATGTCACGCAATCATACGCCTGAATGAATGCAGGTAAAGCAAGAATTCAAGTGTTACTCATGCTACTTCGGCGCAGCTAGCTTAATCATTTGCCATAACCTCTTCTTCTATAAGACCCCATGGTACTATAGTCTCAAGCCGACCTTCTCTCGGCCGACTGTTAGATGGAGGTCTCATGTTAACCTCGATAATAAAGGATGGAAGTGCCATCTGGCTACTTGACTTGATCTACTGTATAAATATGGGTATGTGCTTGCGGATGCTGGGCTTTTTACTGTATCAACCTGGGTAGCTGTACTGGTAGACTTGTACGTCTTTAAATTGCCACTCCTCATGGAAAACCCTCTGCCAAGCCTCAGTAAGCGTATTCATGATGTCTCTTCCGATAAATCGATGTCTGCCTTTCTAAAACTCACCATGCCTCCTATGAGCGATCGAATCTAATCCATCAAGTGCTTCTTAAACCAGTCGGGCGTGGGGACTCCAAGAATGCTTATTCGGAGACTCGTGGCCACCTCGCAACGATTGTTGGGAAAGATCATTGATCTCAGGTGCCCAGTCGTATATGGTACTGAATCTGATGCACAAACTAGAAAGGGCAAGTTGTAGATCGTCTCGGCAGTCACGGTTCACGCAATTGTCACGAAACTCGGGGCTACAAGGCCGTTTCGAAGCTTGCAGTCATCGAAGAAGGGCTCCATATGTACAAATATAATAGAGCTGGTCGGCGACTACCTAATGTTATGCCGCCGAGCTGTCTCCCTGGATCGGACGTGGAGGGGCGCAGCGTAGGCATGCGATACCTGACTGTGAGCTGCGAGTTCAAAGCCTCGCAGGCCACAAGGACTGCACGCTTGTGCGACGCTGGCGCGGCATGTCCAGCCGCGGCTCCGAAGCAACGTCTTCATAGCGTGGAGCCCAAAGATAAACACGAGGACCATGGCAACGGCTTTATCCCACTGCAAGCCCACTTGTGCAAGTGAAATGGTCTGCGGATAGCGTGGCATTGGAGGCTGCACTAGGAGCTGGTTGAGCTGGAAGATTAGTCATTGCGGGACTGGGAAGTGGAAAGGATGGCGGCGTTTCGAACCCTACTGGATTAGGTTAGAACATAGCTAGCGATAACAGTGATGCTAAATCACAGACATTAGCAGTTAGCCTCACCAGCCCCACCTGTTAAGAATAAGCCTGAAAATTAAGTCCCTAATACATACTTTTTCAATACCCTCTATATGTAGGGAATGATGTTTAATTAGCTGCTAGTATATATGCCCAGACCTTTTTCTTATCAGGACCTGAGTTGATTAGGAAAGAAGTGAAGAGAAATATAAGATATGAAAAAAGAAGTCACGGATACTCATTCCAGAGTTGAACAAGGTTTGATATTATCAGTGCTCCTGATTTATCAGGAGCCTAGAGGCGATCTTGAAGGGAGAATGCTATCGCATACCAATACCCTTCCCTTCATACCAAGGTAGTAGGGATTCAACCGCCATACCAAAAGTCACCCATGGCTTAGCATTCCTTCTTTAGTAAGGCATTGAGTCTCAAATCAGCCCAATAACAATTCAATATAAGGAATGTGATTTGTCTAGAGAATGTATAAAACTTAGGTACCTTGCGGTATCCGCCTGGCCGGAGCACTCAACCTCATCACGCTCCTTCAGTTATATCGGCTCCCCGATACTTGCTATTAGCCGCCGCCACACTCGTTTATCAACCCATCTAGTCTTCACCGACATGATTTATTTACGCTTGCTCGGATCAGCCCTTGCTTTCGCCAGCGTTATCAAAGCCCAAGTTGATCTTGGGACCGCCTTGTCATTTGCAGTCCTTGGTGGATCCGCCGTGACAAACACTGGTCCCTCGATAATCAGTGGCAACCTTGGTGTCTATCCTGGTTCAGCCATATCGGGCTTTCCTCCTGGTATAGTCGTCAACGGAGTAATCCACATGACAGATGCAGTTGCGGCGCAGGCACAGGCAGATGTGACGACTGCTTATAATGTTGCGGCTGGATTGCCGCCTGACACTGACCTGACTGGCCAGGACCTGGGCGGTATGACGCTTGTTGCAGGTGTCTATCACTTCTCAACTAGTGCACAACTTACTGGTGCTCTCATCCTTGACGGCCAAGGCGACTCAAGTAGTGTTTGGGTTTTCCAGATAGGCACAACACTGACCACGGCAACCGCTTCTTCCGTGATTCTTATCAATGGCGCCTCGCCCTGCAACATCTTCTGGCAGGTGGGCAGCTCGGCTACTATTGGCACCACCACCACTTTTGTTGGCAACGTGTTGGCGCTCACATCCATCACTTTGGTCACTGGTGCAAGTTCAAATGGAGGCCTCTACGCTAGGAACGGCGCAGTCACTTTGGACACCAATAATGTCAACGCCGGACTAGACTGCCCGCCTTTGGTCGTCACGACGACGACGACGACGACCACAGCAACGGCGACAGAAACAACAACAACTACTACAACTGCAACAGACACGGATACTGCAACTACTACTACAACTACAACAGACACGGATACTGCAACTACTACTACAACTACAACCGACACGGATACGGCAACTACCACAACCACTACGACAGCCACGGATACCACAACAGACACAGATACTACAACTACAACAGCCACATATACTACCACGAGAACTAATACTCGCACTGCTTCTATAACGAATACTGCCTGGAACGGAAGAGGTTCGGGTAATACTGCTTGGAACGGAAGAGGTTCGGGTAATACTGCTTGGAACGGAAGAGGTTCAGGTCATACCGCCGCTGCCTGGAACGGAAGAGGTTCAGGTCATACCGCCGCTGCCTGGAACGGAAGAGGTTCAGGTGCTACTGCCGCAACCTGGACCGAAAGAGGCTCGAGAACCGCGACGAATTGTACTACTGAAGGTCCAAACGCTTCACCAGTCAATGCAGCAATGTTCGGTATAACGGGCAGGCCTGCCAGGATATCAGCTGCCGTATCAAATACGGCCACGACTATTCGAACTCGTGCCACCGCCATAACATTTACTGCAACATGTCATATAGCTCCAACGACTATAACATCCTATGGCCAAGACTTCTTCATCGGAACTCCTTGCACCACGGTCCTGACAGCCACAGTGGGAGCTGCATTTGGGAAGCCAGCATCTTGCAAAGAATGTAATACTCCCATTGCTGACGATGGTGAGGATACGACGTCTACTGGCAAGCTGTGGCCGACCGATTCTCACGAGTCAGTCTTATTATCGCAGGCGACTAAGGCAGCGACAGAAAGCATAGCCCACTTCCAGTGGAATGAGTCTCTTGTGTCTAAACCAGCAGCTTCTGAAAGCCAGGTAATTGTGACTGCTGGCGCCAGAATGAACTGGCCGAATCTCACTGTTATTATACCAGCAGTATTCAGTTTTTTTATACTTAATAACTTGCTCTAAGAGACAAATCTCAGCAAGGGTTTTTGATTTAATATCTTAGTGTTATAATAAAGTACGAGTTTCGCGTTTGAAGCGATAAGCGCGCTAGATAAATGCTAGATCTGGCTTAAAACCGGATTAACGTCATGTCAAATATATAATAGCGATTTAGCAACATGATTTTATAATTCCCCTAAGCAGACTCCTAGATGCCGTGCTTTTGCGTGTAATTTATTATTTTATAACTGTATATTAATAATACTGTAACTTCCCTATACCTTCTCGTCATTCCCTCCCTGCCCTCTACTCGCTTTACTTACTTGCCTTATATATCACCCTCCTACAGAGAGACTTTTTGCTCTCCGATTTTATCTCATTCCTGCCTTTTCTACTCTGGAGATGTTCCACTAAGTCTGTTTACTCTGTCTTCTGCAGTCCTGTAAATGTCACTTGTGGACTTTCCCTCCAGCAACTGATATCCTTCTTTATACATCATCGGGCCCAGAAACAAATTGTCTGTGGTATCTCTGGGTTTGTCGCGTAGTTTGGCTGCTTCATGATGAGACAATCCTGCGCGGACATTTGAGAAGTGAATAGAGCCACTGCGGCACCGCTGGTTATAACCAAATTGTCTACGCTCAAGCCAGCGTCAGAAAAAATGGAGTTTAAGAGCTCATTACTCCTTTTTTATTCCCTGTAGAGTAGAGTAAGGTTGGCAAGGGTCAATCCGAGAGGCCTCAGGGACGGGTCGGCAATGAAGCTCTCCGGGAGATGCCATCTGATATTGTCATAGCCATATTTTCTGCCGAATCGATCTCAATGGGCATCCGTTCGTACTCCACTCATTACTCTGAGCGTAGGACTGTAAGACTCGAAGCCACCAGCTGTGAAAGACTTTTAGTCGCTGTCACTATGATACAACTATTCCTCCGCAGCGAATCTCCTTACAATGTCTACTAACGTCTTTCTCGTACCCCTCCGGTAAAAGACCTCTCCGTGGTCTAAATCTTGAAACCACAGCACATCCAGCCCGTCACCTGACCATACTCCATTTTCCCAGCTTTCGGTCTGCAGAGACCAGTCGTCTGTGCCCGTCAGATACGCCCCAACTGCATTCGTGTCCACGATGGCGTCTCTGCCGGCCAGCACAACCGCCACGCGATGGCGCTGTATGTCTTCCTTCCACAAGATATTATCGGACCATATGAAACGTCGGAATAACGTATGCGCGACTCCCATGTCTTTAGAGCCGAAGTAGGAGAGCAGGTGTTCACTAGGGTGGGTCGGCTTCCGACAGAGCTGAAGTGTCGAGGTTAGCAGAGACCGTTACTAGTAGTAAATGCAAGTGGAACTTTACAAAATTGTATGCTACCTCGGGTAGATGTAGCAGGAATGATACAGGATCAATAAACAAAATCGGCCCGATCTGGTTTGCGATCTGTGGCGTGTGGAGGAGATGCGTAGCAACCACGCTTCCGAAGCTGCATAGAGATGAAGTTAACATACGGCAATGACCAAGACACAAATCCCCCCCCATAAAAAAACGAGAGAAACGAGAGGGCGACTCACGAGTGAGATACTAGTATGAATCTCTCCCACCCATGCGCTGTTAAAATGCACTGAACCTCTTTGCACATCTCATCTTTTAACATTGCCTCAGCTGTTATCCGAGAGCTTATTGGCATAAGTTCTATAGCGATAATTCCCACCTGCCCATCTGACGGGTCCTCGTCATCTTCGGCATTAAGGTCGGCCAAGAATGGTATATACATGCAGAGGCCAACGCCGATACCATGTATAAATAGAACCGGGAGCCTGGTCCTGGAAGTATGCGGCCGGTACCAGTAAGTGAGAGTTCTCGCAGGGGAACGATAGGTGGTGAAGAGATTGAGGAGGCGCGTGGGGAAGACGGCGAGAAACTGGAACAATGACGTGCGGTGAAAATTGAAGGAGTGAGAGCGCAGGTAGATGAATACTAATGTATCGACAACAAACACACACTATAGAATCAAGTTAGTACACCTGCCTGACTTGTGGGCGAGAAGTTCATTGCATAGTCCACCACGAAAACTTACCAGATACCATATCAAACTCCGATGTAACATCTCGACCTTGTCAAGTGTTAATCTAAGGCACTGCGCATTACCGCGGCCAAGTTCCAGCTTCCTCCCAAGCAACTTCTCCATCTCTCCAATATATTGCTCCAGCTCCTCGTCATATGCCGGACCAGGCTCGCCAGAGTTTGGGAACGCCCACCGGAAGAAGTCCTTAACGTTCTCCCGTTTAATCTCTGCTACCGGCGCATCCCGAAACCATTTCGTTAAATACCGATCCGGATCCGGGATTTTGCTATGACAACGCCAGAACAACCTCCGGCGATCATCACGGCCGGCGGTGGGATATGTCACGACTCTCTGAAGGTAATTTTTGCGCGGGAGATAGACGAGAAGGTAGAATACTGCCTCGAGATTGAGCCACACCTCCAGCATATGGGGGATATGGAACGGGGAATGGATTAAGCAGCTGACGAGCGAATAGGTAACGCTAAGGGGTGCAATGAGGTGCAGGAAGAATATGCATGTTCGAATGCAAACGTAGTCCCAGGCGTATATACCTATCATGGTGAAGGCATGTATATTACCGCTAATAGAGAAGCTCGAGATAGGCGTAGTTACCCAGTGAGTGATGACACCCCCAGAAGGAAAATATGTGCGCTGCTCCAGGTTTATAAGGACATCCAAAAGTCATCCATGGGATATTATATCAGCAATTGTCCATTTAGCAAGTTTGGCATGTACATTTCCGTTGGGGAAAGCACCTTCAGTTCTATTTGTTGAATAAATTTTGACGGCCGACTTGCGCGGCGCGCGGCTGCTAATCTCTCCATTCTGACGTATCGAAAATTGCCAAAAATGACATGTGAAAGGTCGCCTATCCGTGATACCCAATACTCATTGTCACTTAGATTTGGCTGGCCAATTAGCGAAGAGCTTCTTGGTGGCATGGGCGCGATCTCCAAATCCTTGAGGGACACCGATTGACGAGAGGAGCTACAGTTCTTTGCAAAAAAGGTGTATAGACCAGGGAATTGTCTAATGATAGATATAAGTAGCAGACATTTGGACAAAGGCAATCATGCAATGCGCCACCCTCAGTCCAGTTTTGCGACGTGGTTTAACATAAGACGCAGTTTCACTAACCTCTTATCACAACCGAACTGTGCTGGCACATTCGGCAACACTTCTTCCGTCTTGAGCCACCCAATGCCGATGATAGCATTTGTAGTGCCTAGCCAATTGTTCTAACGAGGGCGTATAACTGAGTATTGGGGCCTCGTTGTCTCCAAGAGAATTGACCATCATGGCTTGGATCTATGTGAACTTGGTTGTGAAAGCATCGCCACGCGTTCGATTCCCTCCGGGTACTCTACCTGGATTACGTAGTAACCGGCCATAGCATCCCAATTTAGTAGCAGTTATCGTCGGCGAAGAAGTGGCTTGAGCTTCTTGACTCCCCATGGATCGTTACTCTCGCAGTCGAGACAGTTTACCTCCTCCAATCGAACCACCTTATCTGTTGCTTCTTTAATAGTCCTTCATGCCCTTTTTGTAGAACTTTCTGCACGGCATCTGCCGCAATATGCACCAACATACCTGACTGCTCTATTCTCTTGTCACCCTGCAGGCTCATCTGGCCCGCAGCAAGTGGAAAAGCAAGGCCGGTCATGAGTGGCAGTTTGTCCGACTTGAACGACAAAGGACCAAGGCCCGAGATACTCGTAAAGCCTTCTTTCAACCTCCCGAGTAAATCCCATGCTTCGCCGTGCATATTGAACAAGTTGAGTAAGATTTTCGGGATTTCATCTTGGATGCTCAAGGCAAGCTTGCGTATCAAACCAGGAGGGAGGAGTCCAGCATGCTCAAGCTAGTTCACATGTCAGCAAGGCTTGTGGAAGAGAGAGCTTCTCGCGAACCAATTCGCCTTTCACGTGGGAGTGATAGGGGTTACAAACCCTTGCTTGTGCCACTTTTTCCTTATACTCTGTTTCAAAGTGTTCCCTGCTGTCTGTATACTGTCTATAAATGCCATCATCACAGTGTTCTCGACTGCAGCAGGTGACCACGGGTAACTCGCTCCAGGATGTTCCAGGCGGTGATTGGTTTGTGAGGAAACGTATCCCATGAACTTCAGATTCCTTCGATTGTCACTGTTTATCTTGGGATTGCCTTTCCTTTGGTGGGCTCTCAGGCAGTAGGGTTTCAAAGTAAGCCTCGCGGTTAATCGGCAGGTCGCCAACAAAGAGTGTCGGAGTACCCTGCATCTTCTAGAGCGTTTCAAGATCTTCCCACACGAGGCCGTCGGCAAGCACCTTCTCCTGGCGAAGTGCATGGTAGAGCTGTGTTGCTCCCACAAGAGCTTTGGGCATTGCGGCATATGGCCGGCCAGATAAGTGCAAGCTACAATGCATGTTGTGTAGCAAGAGGCCGCAGTGGATGGGATTCCGCCGCAGGGACTTGAATGGCGGTGCAGTTCTGTTTGGCCACATCGCCTGATTAACCATCACTTTGCGAGCAACCCACGTTGGGTCTTCGTCCCATATGCTTGTGGCACCAAATACTTGTGATCGCTCTGTGGATGAGGCGGAGACAGCGAGCATTGAGTGCTTAATCCTGAGTCACTCTTGCTGCATTTCTCGATATCCTCGATCACATTCGCCTCCAAGGGACTGCAGGATGTCCAAGTAAATTTGAAGGGTCCAAGCCAACCAATAAGGCACGTCTTTTGTTCGCCTAATGATCAAGAAGGACATCTCACAGATTATTTCATCCATCACAGATGCGCGGCCAGTCTTCGTAGCCGGAAAGCTCACATCCGGCATGACTTCGAGAATTGCTGACATATCTGGCTTCCATTTTTGGCGATTCGTCTGTGAGGAGCCACCCATCTTCTCGTCATACCAGCCAAAACTGCCATTGTAAGTTGGAGATATTTTGAGGATGGGTTCGTTGACGAGAGGTAGCTGGCAAGGATTGTCAAGCTGTTCATCATGCAAGCGTCTGCCAGATCGTAGGCGTCCAGATTGTAGGGATCACCCGGCTGTTGCTTCCTCTCCTTGGGAATGCCGAAAGCTGCGCACAGGGCGACGAAATATCGATTTGCGACAAGAGCACCGCCTCCCATTTTAAGGAGCAGGTCTAGTTCCTTTTCTATGCTACGGGCCAACTTGAAGGCCATATTCGTCGCCACAGAACCTGCCGCAAGCTCGAGGCGACCAGCAGCGCAGTCCGCTCATAGCGAGTCGATATCGTGTCTGAGGCGATGATAATCATCCAGAAGGGCAGTAAACTCAAAGATGATATTTATCAATGTGTCTTGCTGCTCCGCCACATATTTCACCTCGGGTGTCAGCGTTGGAGCAACATCTAGAGAGTTCTCAAACTCTGGGGATGTGTGGTGCTGAAAATATTATTGGCCACTTTTCCAGGCTTATTCTTCGTCTCATCTCCGTTGAAATAGACGGTTCCCATGAGCGCTTTTAAATGACGCCAGACGGCTTCAAGTACCTCGACAAACAAGGAGTGGCGGTTGTTCGACATTGCATTATCACCATACTACCCGAGGAGAGCGTTTCTGCAAAGTTCTCTCGCGCTGTGCAGACTGTCGTAAAATCGTTTCCTCTGCTTAGGTCCTGGAAGTGACAGTTTCCTATTTTAAGTCACTAACCAAATATGACACATGCCGAGAACTTTGACGTTCTCAAACTTGGATATGAACGTTGCCAAAGGCTGTTTTGTCGCATTCGCTCTGTATTCTTGAACATAAAGCATGCAATCGGGTCTTCTGGGGGGTCGAGCGCTACTGGTCTGGGTACATGCGAATACACTCAAATCTGCGCTGAGTCAACACCGCAACCTCGTCGCAACAACTGGGGCACATAAAATTCGCGACTGTCTGATCTTGATGTTGAGAAACATTGGGGATGTAATTTCTTATGACTGCTACACTCCGATTCGACATCCTCGGATGTGTCTCAACAAGGTCAAGCACCAGCGCTACCATATGATCAATGCCTGAGCATTTCCGGATTGGACACTCCTTCTTCCATGGGCTACCAGAACCGGGTCTTGTGCATGACATGTGCTGCCTCCCTGCGGGTTGCTTCGACTTCTTATAGTGCCTCTCCTACTGCTGTCTTATTATTAGTGCTCAACGTTTTCAATTCTTTGATTCGTTGACGACTTTGAACACTGACAATAATGAAGAAGAAACTCTACATGATTATGCCACCTCGGGCAGATAATACACTCGCTTAGCCTTCTGAGCGTTCCATATGTTCTCATACGACCTGAAGCTTGTTATCACCCTGTAGAGAGGCCGGTAAGTAGGTAAGTTGAAGAACCCCAAGATACAATTCCCGATTAAGAAGCTTCATAGTTTTTCTAGGCTAGCCGTCATCAAAACAATCGTGAGTAGTGAGCCGCCTCCATTTAGAATCTCTGTCATTTTGGCGGTGGTATGATAGATTCATATACGCCGAGAGCGTCTAATCTCGCGTAGCAATGGGAATATATTGAACAGATCATTTAAGAAATCTGTGACGGGAAGCTATGCGACGTTTAATGTGCTTATTTTCCGCGGCTGAAGGGTAGCCAGATGGTGAAGGCGTTAGTGAAGTATCCAATCTCAATTGCCAAGAAGAAATGGATGATAACATATGCAAAGTATTGACACAGTCTGCCTGCAATACGTGGGTGAGCAATAACATATCGGCACCAGAACCGATACCTCCGAGCCAGGTTAATCACCGTCTAGAATTATCAACTTATGGCCCAGTTTCTCGCTAGAAGTCCAACAAGATGCAGTAAACAACAAAGAGCAGTGACTAATAGCTCCATCTAGCGGGAAGGGTGGAGTTATGTGGTCACGTTATTGACAAAACTACAAATGACAGGCGTGAAACTGCATTTGAGATAGTGAAGGAGAGAAATGCTAATTAATTTCTAGACTGTCATTTTCAGGTCTCTGCAGCAAGCTTCGTGTGGCATCTGCATCCGCGTTCTCTAAGGTGGGCCGTGGGTTTATCCTCCATGCAAGTCTTACGTACTCGAATGCATCCCCAGAAATCCACCGACCTTCCCCACACTGTATCGATTGTTGTAGGGCTGGCTGGAATAGTATTACTACTACTAGTATTAAACATTGGTGACACCACTATTGTTTTGAGTACAGGTTGAATCAGTAGTAGTCTGCACGAACGGAGTCTTTGCACTGGACATGAGCCACTCTACTCTAATGGTGCGTACAGAGGTGAGTTTCGAATATGCCCGATGTTGAGAAAAGCTTTACCCTGACAGCAAACCCTACGAGAAGCTGGAAGGAACACTCATAGACATTCCAACTGGTGAAATAGAAGACATAACAGAAACCAATCTCTCAGCACCACCCATCCATCTCCTCGTGGATTGCCTAACCTCGCATGCCTTTACGAAGAGCTAACATGGCTAAGCATTTAGTTATGGCTGATTGTTGTCTAATACGGTAGTCCTTGGTCTTGATCATCCCGCCCTCCTCCTCCTTTAGGATAAGGTATGATTCGCAGGTTGTGGCGATTGCTACGAGACTAAGGAGACCTTTGTTCCTGGCTCCCCTCGTGTGGCAACGCTGCAACCGTTTGTCATATACTGCTCGCTACGCGAACTACGCGAACTATTACTCCTTTCTATTAGCCTGACGCGCTACTTGGCGAGTGTCATTGTTTATTGAAATGATGACTAGAACTACCTCTACTTTTGAGATGAGAGGCCCGACGGCGGAATTAGTCTTTCGTCTACGAAATATCTCGGCGAATGGATGATGCCCCCCACATACTTTAGCTCACCATTTCGTCGGTACGGAACAGCGGAATGCGTGTAACAAGCGGCGTTGATATCCACAATCTTCATCCGCTAAAAGCAGGGACCTGGATTGCTGGAGTAGCGCTGATGTAGTACATGGTATTTATGGGTTCTCGAAGCTGATGGGCTCCGTTCCCGACTCGTTTATGCTCTTCTGCTCCATTGCAACGATCGTTCTGTGGGGACATGGAGGCACTTGCATGAGTAGGTGGTCTCAATAGTGAGTGATTGGTGTTGATGGGCAAACTTTGACTAAAAGCTGCGTATCATAGTTATGTGGAATCGTCTCCTGAATATCTAGAGAAGACTGAAAACGAATCGTTATCTATTAGGCCTGGAGTTCCAGTATATAACCTGCCATACTGATTGAAATGCAACCAGTCTGCTCATGCTTTGCGTGGCTGATCCTGCAATCACAACAGTCCGCTTCATGAAGTAGTATCCAGGGGATAAGACGGCTATTTGTTTTGTCAAGATGGGGAACGGGCAAAAAAGGAACAGATCAGAATAATCATTCGATGAGCGATAAGCTTTACCAAAAGAAGAAGTGGCTGATGCAGGGGAAATGGCTTGATTCCGAAGCCGGCAACTCGTGGGCGAACCTCTAGCTTGGCCTCATGGTTCCAAAGATTGGATTGGCCATGTTGGAGGGCGTTCATCAGCCGCACTCCCGCCCCGCTCCGAATCCAGGAGTATGCCCGGAGCTAACAGCCACAGCCATCAACTATCTTCCAGAATGCGCGTCTTCATCCCCAGAGAGCACAAGCCAAAGGCGAGCCGACTGGGGCTTTCCCGCGTGCGCGTCGTGCCTCGGCCCTTAATCTCGCCCTTATCTGTCTGGTGGGTTGGTCGATGGCGTTATTTCGTGCAAAGGTTCCCATCAGGGATACAGAACTGACGGCCGCTCCCGCATGTCTTCAACTCTCGCTTGTTGGGAGCGTCCTTTTGCCAGCAGATCAATTACTTCCATTCATAGATGGACTTGATGTGCCCGGCCACCAAGCAAAATTTCCATCGAGGCTTCTTCTCCCACCAATGATAGGTCTGGGCTACGCCTGGCTGTTGAGACTCTTCGGGTCGATGACGCCCTAAGTTGATCGCTAGTACTTCAGGTCGTCTAGTAGTTCCTCTGGCCTGAGTCAAGATGCGGTGCTTAAGGTCCAGGACCTTGCGCTAATATCGACCGTCGCGTGCCTGAGCGACCGATCTGCTGTGTAGACAGGGATCAAGCATGGGTGCCACGATAAGGCGGTTTAGAAACCGAACATGGGGGGATTGAGACATCAAAAGGAAAATGTCGCGCGCTGGCATCGTTCGACATCTGTTTCTGCACCTCCACCTGGTGATTGCATACATGTATTATGCCTCGTCACTGCTGCTGATCACTTCTTTTTTCCCCCTTGCATTTCTCTCTCAACCTTGTCAGTCATATCTTCCGAGTGGTCGTAACCCGACTAGGGAGAGACGAGCACGAATTTGCTGGAGAGCCAGGCCTGAGCGGGAGAGCATTGGATTGGAAGCAGCAGCGTCGACAGACGCCAAAGATACGCCAAGATGGATGCGGAATTCATGGACCAGTTATGGAGTGAGCGCCACTACGGAACACCACTTGCCATCATCTTCATGATCCTGCCCACGATCGCCGTTGGCCTGCGACTGTACGCAAAGATCACGGCTCAGCAGCCAATCGAGCTCAGCGATTACTTCTCCATCACAGCATGGCTAAATACGGCGGGCTTCTTCATAACGTTGCTGGTGGGAGTTTATCTGCCGCCTTCGTTCCTTGATAACCCCGAAGGCATTGACGTGCCGGTATCGAAAATCACCTTTTCCCTGAACCTCTTGTGGGCAGCTGCTTGCTACTCTTGCAAGCTGTCTATTCTTTGCCTCTACTACCGCCTCCTCAGCACGCCGTCAAGCACATTTCGACTGGTAGTCAAGATCATGTTTGTCTTGACATCTTGCATTGGAATTGCGAGCGTCTTGGGGTTCCTCTTGGTATTTCGAGATTTATCATGGTGGTGGTCGAACGGCATGAAGACTCACCCGGAGGCGCAAGCGAATCTCATCAGGATGAACGAGGCTATTGACATCATGTCACTCCTCACAGACGCCATCCTCTTCTTTATGCCTCTTCCGGTTATCAGGAGACTGAGCCTCAGCAAAAGCAAGAGGCGTCTCCTTATCGGTCTCTTCTCCCTTGGCTTCCTGTAAGTGACTGCAAATTGGACTTTGGATAACTCGGCAACCACGGCACTGCGTTCTGACACATGATGTGACAACTTTAGGACCTGTATTGAGGTTGTTGTTCGAATCATTACCACCTACGGCTTTAATGGCGCTTTAGACGCCATCCAGGTGCAGGTTTTGTTGATGGGAATCGAGCCAGCGATGGGCATTACACTCTGTTCTTTGCCCGTGTTTCTCAGACTGGTAAGTTCAATTCCATCAGCCTGCGTAGAAAACCTCGAATCACACTTATTAATTCTGTTCTCCTTCGCACAGTTCCGAAAAGGCAAAAACCCTTCCAGCGGTCGCAGTTACGCCTCCGGAGACCGGGGCAACTTCTACTCTCTCGGGCCCGTCAGTGCGAAGCGATCAACACGGGATCCAGACGGAGCGTTGCTGGACTCAGCTGTTGGAAAGCCGAAACCCGTCCTTGTACAAACAGAAATCACGATACATTCCTCCCGCAGCGGATATAATGACTCCATCGAGTCTCAAGAGTACTGGAAATAAGGAAGCAATAGCCTCGTTTTATTTTGTTGCTAGATATTTTGAGCAATCACTGTTATATGAAAACCAATACCCTTTGAGGAACGCGGCCCGATCACGAAGCTCCTGATGTTTTGCACCTGATGTTTTGCAGAAATCCTGTTGCTGAAGCATTATGCTGCTGATGAGATGTACCAACGTCTTCGTTGCTTCATGTGATAACTGCTGACGTTGGAGATGCTCGTCAGCTGTATGTCCTGAGCACCCTTCTAGCAATCTCAACCGGTGATATTCGGCAATGGGACTTCTCGGCTAAAGATGGTTCAATCCTAGGTTACTTCGAAAACTGTAAGTCTGATTTCTAGCTGAACCGAGGTAGCCATATCAGAAACAGGAGCTTGACATGCTCTCGATATCTAATTTGAATAGGTATACCATACGAAAAACACTAGCCTCGATGGCATCTCATGCTGCGTATAACGGGTGGCTGTTCAGGCGCCCAACCTCTTTGGGGTGATAGGAAATCTGTCAAACCGCGAAGTTTGTATCGTCTAGGTGTAGCAATAGGGACATACTGACGTTGCTGGGACTCGGAGGTAGGTATATGTATATTAACTTAGGTATTTTGATGCCTTCACAGCGGAAGCTCGGGTGGTTTGTGTTGAATTGTATGTTGACTGTCTTGCCTGCTTAACTGCACATAAGCTGGGCCATCACCACTAACTCATGGCCTTTTGGTTCAGTGGTGATACGTCCTATTTGACAGGGCTGTAAAGTAAATGTAAAATAATAAGTTGAAGCAGTTTCATTAGGACAAACTTTGGCCAGCCGGGTTCGGAGTATGGGTATATAGTTAAGTGTGTACAGGCACTATCTAGGAATTGAGGCAACAGACTCTGTCTCCGACTATCTCTTTCGTCGTCACTCTTTATTTGGGCTGTACAGAATTAGAAGTGACTAGATTGGTTATAGCCCCTGGTCCCGATGAGCATTGAGCGTAACCAAGACTCACAGAATGGAAGCAGAGAAAGAATGCTAATCATAAACTACAACAGTTATGCCCCGGCTTATAAAGTAGTTTCACTAGTTAATCCAGCATTATACTATAATTACCCTCTGTTTTATTTCTTATCCCCCACAACATTGCCCAACTCCCTAAGATATCACATGCAACTGTTAGCAATTCGCTTTTCCTGAAGCATGTTCTCATCCCGGTCTGGGTACTGTGTAAGTTAACCCTGATAGCCTCTTCTGCATGATATGCCATTGCATTAAGAATAACTGTTAAAAAAAAAACGTTAATCTCCGAGTATAATTGCTAACTAGTCCCTGATTATCTTCGCCGTCACAGAACACATTCTTATTGTTTGTCTGTTTCCTTATATTCTTTACACCATCGTGCACGCGCGTCAGACCTCCTCACTGAGGTGCTTTCTTGCGAGGAACAGCGTATACCTTTACACTATTTATTGCCTCATGGAAATTATAGTCTCATCACATCCACGGCGGTAAATTCTATCCTGGACATCTCTATCTCAGGAAATAGTAACTGGTGGCGTTAACTGACTACATACATGCTATATGGTACTGCGTATTCCGGGGAAAGAGCCATCCAAAGAAGCTCATTCTCCGATCCAAATGCATACGCACCGGATGAGACGCACATATAATACGATTTGCCGGCTCTTGGAAACTCTGTCCCGAGTGGGGCAAATGTCGTATAACGATGTCGGGGTTCTTTTGTTTTTTTTTTTGCTGTTCTTGGCTTCATGTATATGGCCAGATAGATAGCCTGAGGTAGGAATTTTACATGCACCAGTCCATGATGTTGCAGAGGTTAGGTTTCGGGAATTTAGGCGATTAATTAGCCCATCTTACATCTTCAAGCAATCGGGCGAAGCCCAACGGCGCCCATATACCCCTCGGAATAGGTATACTTAAGTCTAACTGGCACACTTAAGCCACTATGAGGGCATGACAGCGAATAAAAAAAAAACTCTGGATCAATCTGGTAAGCTGATAGCGAACATGTCACCATCAGTCTTCATGTAAACCTTGAAATGCAATGATACTGCTGACAATGTCGGTCTTTATCGACCTATTACAATGTCTGCCTGCCGAGTGTGATTCCCACCTACGTGCCGAATAAATCTCAGCATGATTGATGATGAAACCTGCCGAAGGGATGACTTATATCATGGAGCTGTCGCCTTGGCTTTGGGCATCACAGCCTGGTGGAATACGGCTCTTATGCATAGACGATACCGGTTTGCCAGACTCGCATCGGACAATCATCACATCGGATTCACATGCCGTCCTTCGGATCCACTTCTGCTAACTGCCAGAGTTCAATCCGTCGCAAGAGCGGGGTTTGATAAGCACTAATGCTCCACAGCGTGCCCAGTCCTCTTTTTATGATGGGTGCTGTGGTATTGGCTACTATTCTATCAAGCAAAGATAAACAGGCAGAATCGTAACTGTAAGTGGCCCAGCCGCCTAAAGGTCATACATAAAGAGCCTGGATCCTTCGATGACACTCGCACCATGCCTCAGTGATTCACCACCACCAGGCGCAACGTAACTTACTGAACAGGCCCGGGAGTCGGAAATAGATGGCTCTTTACCTAACTGCACTATAGCTCAAACCTGTCAAAAGAGGAGAGTAGTCGATAGTCAGAATGCCCGTGATTGACAGCAAGCCTGACTTCACTATTCAATCGGCGACCTCACTTGATGAGGCGAAGGACCTCTGGTGGAGTCGGATGCAAGATCTGGGATGGGTACATCAATATCTCCCTGTCCTTTGACAATGTGGAAAGATGTAGCTAACGAACGCCAGAATCGCGACGAATTAGATGCGGAAACCCACTTCACAGTCGCCCGAGGCGGCGAGGACTGGCTTCTACTCGTACCAACAGGCTCGACAAAGCCTTCAGGAATGGTCATCGGCTTCACATACCCGAACAAGACTGGATGGGTGGGCTTTTTTATTGTGAACGAAGAGCACCGGGGAAAAGGATGGGGTGCAGCTTTGTTCAAAGCAATGCTCAATTCGTACCAGAAGAACGGCGTCCATACGGTCGGCTTAGACGCTGTAGAGGAGCAGGTCAATACCTACGCAAGACGAGGTTTTGTTGAGGCTGCCAGGATCAAGCTCATGACACGCGTATCGGCACATGAGGCTCCCCTCAGCTCTGGCGACAAACAGCCAAAGCAGGGTTATACAGTGACTGATATAAAGCAAGTTGATATGGGCGCCATGGCGAATCTTGACCGCGCCCATACTGGACTCCATCGCCCAGCGCTTTGGAGCAAAGCCGCTTTGTTCTCTCGCCCAGATGCATTTGGCTTTGCCATACTCTCGGAAACTTCGGGCGATTTGCAGGGACTCATACTGGTCCGTCGATGTGAGCACGGACATAGAGTTGGTCCCTTGATAGCGGATTGCACGGACCATGCATCCCTTCTCCTTCAACTGGCCATGTCACACCCGAAGATATCGGCGTCGACTGGAAGCCTCATTGCAGAAGCATTTGGGCCAAACGAGCACGCCACTCGCGTGTTTGAGGATTTGGGCTGGCAGTGGGCCGGCTTAGATTACCACAGAATGTGGCTGGAAGGTCGTGTGCCAAGCGAACAGCAGGAGGGTGGACAGGGCTCGAGGGGAATGTTCGCGGTTTTCGACGCCGGTCAGGGCTAGACCAAACCTACTTATAAAAGATATCTCGCGGCGAAGGGTATTGCGTTCTAACAATGAATGCGACTTAAACTGCTTTTTGGGGCATATGTATTCTCAATATAACCTGCGCCTAACATCACTGCATGCAAGCTGGTGTGAGATAGCATAGAATGTAAAAGCGATTATTGCATAGATAGTAACATATACATAAATCTTCCGCCAATACCGGCATATGTGAGAGAGAAAGAGACAATGAAGGAAACAATCATAAACTATACATGTAAATAATGACTAATGCGGTCCTCAAAGAAGAAGATAAAGTACTTAATGAAAAGAAAAAGTCTGAAATCCACCACTTCATCCACGTGTGATACTCAGTCGCTTCCCATGTAGGGGAAAATCATCTTGGCGCCATTGCTCTGAATAGCCTCCAAGTAAGCCGTAATCAGGGGGTCGATCCCTGCCTTGGCCGCACGGCGCAGCCACTCATCCATTTCAACCTCATCAAAAGTGACCCCGTATACCTTTTCTAGATGTGACCAGAGTTCAGTGGCAGGAACCTTGACTCCACCCGAATGGTGCTTAAAAATGATATCCGTGGACTCCTGGTTGCTCTGGCCTGAGCCAAGCTGGATCACAGATTGGCACAATTCGGCAACGACCGTGTCCAGCTGTGCTAGGTCAAGGTAGCCTCTGACATTGTCCATTCGGGGCGAGGATTGCATCAGAATCGAGTACCTGAGGATTGCATTCAGAGCATCAGAGTTGGGGGCGTTTTCGCTGACAATGACGGACGGGCGATGCACCGCGACAGTCCAAGGCTTCTGCTGATGCCGAAGCGATGAGCCTTGTAAGTGACTGACCAGATTCTCCAGGAACACCTCGCTGGTCCACTTGCTCATCATATGACCTTCGCGACCGTCTGTTGCCGGAGGGAAAGCACTGACAGAAGCTGCTGGAGGCGAAGTATTTCCAGTCAGAAGGACAACTCGATTGGAGGAGAGGAAAAGCAGCGGAATGGAGCGCGGCAGCGCCATTGAAGCGAGGAACTGGGTAGAGACAACATTGGGGGTGCGCAACGTCGCGTACGTGTTGAGACAGTGGCCGCTACCTCCTGCGTGCACGATGACGTCTGCAACGCTCTCCAATCGCTCCCGCTCAGCTGCATTGAGCCCCAGAGTAGGCGAAAGTAGGCTTCCAGTAAAGCATTCAATCTTCTCGTCTTCGGGGAGCAACTTCTGATCATCGGCGGGGACGGCGACGCAGTAAATCTGGCTCACCGTGTCCGACTGAAGGAGAGACTTCAACAGGTGACCCCCAAGGAACGTTGTTGCGCCGGTCATCAAGACGCTGATTTTTTCCACGGGCAACTTTGAGCGTGTAAAGTGGTTTGAATTCGATAGTTCGTGAATCTGGTTCAAGAGCCACTTGGGAATAGCCGTTTCTGCTGCCCAGTCAATCTCCAGCTCGGCGTCATTCTCAGTCTGTGACCGCCTCTGCTCGTCGACCGCCCGAGCCATGTCCCGCAACGTGCTTGCCTGATAAAGCTTTCGGGTTGACATGATGACATTCATCGAATCCTTGATTGCCGCTTGAAGCTTCATCAGCAAAAGTGAATTGCCTCCCAGAAGAAAGAAGTCCGACGACGGCGAGATGCGGGCCGAGGACGCTGCCTGTGGAAGCACGCGCTCCCACAAGAGGCGCAATTCGCCCTCACCAACCGTCATCTTCTCCTCTGATGAGGTCGGACCAGCCGTGAATTGGGTTTGTGGAAGCGGAAGGGCGGCGATGGCTTTGCGATCCAGCTTCCCGTTCGCATTGGTGGGAAGGGACGACAAGGTGATGATGCGAGCTGGAATGAAGTATTGAGGTAGCGTTAACCGCCTCAGCACGCCCGTCAAATCATCGTCAGTGACCGACCCAGCTGCGGCCTTGTCTGCAGAGACTGTGGCATGGGCAATGAGCACATCCCCCCGCTGAGAGACAACCACGGTGGACAGAAGACCGTTCGCCGCCTCGAGCACAGCCAATTCCACTTCCTGCAAATCGATACGGAGCCCCCGAAGTTTGATCTGGGCATCGCCATCGATGCGGCCAAATAGTAGCAGGGTACCGTCAGATAAGAGGCGCCCACGGTCTCCGGTACGATACATCCTTTGTCCCTGCGCAGTCACGATGAAGTTGCTGGCGGCGTCTCCGGAAGCATTGACATAGCCCAAGGCCACTCCCGCCCCTCCAATGCATATTTCTCCTGTATAGTTAACCGGCTGAGGACTGCCCGATACATCCAGAATGGACACAGTGTAATTAGGGAGCACCTTGCCAACGGTATATTTGACAGTATCGGCATTCAAGTTGCCTTGGCTTCCCAGGTCGACAGTATGAAATGAAGCTGCGGCTGTGATCTCCGTTGGTCCGTAACAGTTTGTGACTCTCAGATTTGGAAGTCCAAGACGACGAAGCTCCAGCACCAGCTGACGGGTGACTGGCTCACCACCCATACAAATGTGACGCCACGCTGTGTTCTCCTTCAGCGAGGAGGCTCCATAGCGGGTCCAGGCGAGGTATTCGGATGGCGTAGCGATAGAGAGTGAGATCTGCTCACTTCGGATAAGTGACGCCATTTCGATCGGATCGCGCCTGATCTCGAACGGGGCGATTACCAAGCGACCACCGTTCGCGAGGGCGCAGAACATCTGAATCATTGACATGTCGAAGCCCGTGGAGCTTTGCTGAAGCACGGTTTCCTTGCCCAATCCAAGCAAGTGTGTCTTGAGAGCCAGGTGGTTGACGAAGTTGGCCTGTGAAAGCATGATGCCCTTTGGTGTGCCCGTAGAGCCGCTAGTGAAGAGTATCACGCTGCACGTATCTGGCGACGCCACGCATGGCACGGTTACCCTGACTTCTTCATCCGGGATGTCATCAAGGACGACCCGCCTGATGGGGAAGTCAACCTTGTCGATGCAATCCCGTGCCAGACCATCTGTGGTAGAGTGGCTCACGATCAACGATGGCTTGGAGGAGTGAATCATAGCGACATGGCGCGCGGTTGGCAAGCTGACGTCCAGGGGAACGTAGACAGCGCCAATGTGTAGGATAGCTAGCATTGACACAATAGTGTCGATAGACGGTTCGCAAAGGACGGCGATATGAGAGCCTGATCCACATCCATATCGGACAAGTGTGTCGCATACAGCGTTGACCCTCTCCATAAGCTCAGCGTATGTCAATGTGCTAGTTTTATCGGTCACGGCTGCGTCTTCATGGTGGCGGCGAACCATATCCAAAAAGCGCTGAGAAAGAGTTGCCGGCCAGCCAAAAGTTATGACGGGGCCCTTTCCAACTTTCAATGAGCTTTCAATGCCCGATTTGTCGTAGACGTTGCAATTTCCAATCTGAAGGTCGGGGTTGCTTGAGAAGTCATCCAGAAGCCGCATGTACGCATCCATGATGGTACAGCAAGCCTCAGAGCTGTAAGCAGACGACGAAACATAAAACTCCACCATGCACCCGGTACGTGTCTCTGCAATACCCAAGCTCAAGTCGTATGGGTTGTTGGCGTCTTTCACATCTGCCATGGTCATTTTCGCCTGTCCAAGGGGCATTTCCCAGAGGGAACCGGTGCGATAGTTCAGCGCCGCTTGGAAAAGTGGCGTGCTACCAGAAGATCTGGGGATCTTGATCTTGTCAATTATCATGTCAAAAGGTACCGTCGAATGCTCAAGAGCCCGGAGGGCACTCTGGCGAGTGTGCTGAGCGACATCTGCGAATCCAGTCTTGCCGAGGGGCATATGCAGGCGAACGGGGACCATGTTGACAAAGCAGCCAACGGTACCGGCGTATTGGTGATTGTTGCGATTGGCATCGACAACTCCGATGCAAAGATCCTCAGTGTTGGTATAGCGAGAAAGCAAGACCTGCAGGAGAGCAAGGTGGAAGTGAAAAGGGCTGATGCGAAGCTGTTGGCAAGTAGCCTTGAGCGACGCAAATTGCGCATCGTTCAGCTCGCGGTATTGGTGATAGGTGTCTGGCACTGGCTCGTCGCCAGGAGCACCGCTGATGTTGGCAAATGGAAGACGTGGAAGCGTTTCGGGGATCGTCTTGAACTCGGCCTCCCAGAAAGACAGCTGCTCGTCGAACTCCCCTCGGGTTTGCTGCTCCAATTGCTGCACGGAGAAGTCCATATATGATCCGGCACTCCTGTTCAAAGGCCTCATATTGTAAGCACTGTTCAGGTCGTTCAGGACAATGCCCAGTCCCATGGAATCCATGACAATGTGATGATATGCGATGATCATGTCGTGGTCCTCGGAGCTGCGGCTTATTAGTGACACTTCCATCGTGTGTCCGTACTCCAAATCCCATTTGCGAGTAGAGAGCCGTGACATTTCTCGATCAACATCGGCATCGGATGCGTTGACAATATGATTGAATTGGTAGAGCGACGAGGCCATGAGACCTTGCATGGGTTGGCCATCTTCGAGGCGCGAATAGAAGCACATCCTCAGACACTCATGGTTGTACGTGGTAACTGATAGTGCGTGTTTCAATCTGGCGATGCCGATTGGCCCCTTGACCCTATAGCGGAAAGCCATGTTGTACGCCGAAGAATTCTCAAGATGCTGAGACATGAACCAGAGGCGGGCCTGGGCGGGTGACATTCTCTCTTCACGGAGGATTTCCGGTCGGATTCTCATCTCATCTGCCTTGTCGTCCGCGACGCTGACAGAGCGTTCCGATTTATCGTCGGAATCGGGTGTCTCGTCCTTCGTGTAGGAGCTGTTGCTGGAGATGGACTCCTCCTGCTTGCTAGTGGCTGCCGTCAACACACTCACACTGTCAAAATCGACCGCCCTCTGAGCCGTAAGAAACGCGGGTCGGTCACTTTCAGGGGTCAAAACGGGGTCCGACTGATTAGGTGGACTTGGACTTCTATCGGCGGGAACAACGTTAGACGACTCGACGGCTATCCGAGGCGAGGGGGCAAGAGGTGCTGGGGCAGGAACACGAACCGGGGCTGCAGCTTCGGCGGGCTTCTCAGTTGTCGACTTTTTCTCAGCCCCGGCTTCCATATTCTTGGCCAGCAGTTTCTTCGTCGCAATCGTGGACAGCTGCTGGACAGTGTCACCTCCGAGAATCTTCACGACAGGCACATCGGCGCCAAGCTCTTTGAGGAACCATGTTCGGATTTCCACGGCAACTAACGAGTCAATCCCCAAGTCAGTGATGGGACGCTGCACGTTGATGCTACCAGCCGTGAGCTGCAGGATGGATTCCAGCTTGGTGCAGAAAGCTGCCATGACTGCATCAATGGCCTCTTCTTCCTGCTCGGCCTTCTCCACCAGTGCTCGAACATTTTCCGTAGATCCCGTGGAGCTACGGTCGTTCTGGGCGTGAATAGCATGCTGGTCAAAGTGGGCAAAGCGCGGGTTCTTCATCCACAGTGGCTGCTGGTCCGATGGAATCTGCTCCCTAAGGGGCTCGATACCCATGATGATATCATAGTATCCCGAGGTGCTCTCAGGCTTTCCACCCTTGACAGCCTCAGCGAATGCGTGGTGAACATCAGTCTCGGACGTAGGCATGAGCCTGACTTTGCGAAAGTGGGAGTCAAGCTGGCGGTCACGTTCCTCGCGGGTAACATAGCCAACGTCCGTCACGTAGGCAATGTGGATGATGGATGCAGCAAGGCCACGTGCACGCCGTTGGTGAACAAGGCTGGTCATGAACAGGTTGGCGGCATGGTAGTTGGATTGCCCAACGTTTCCGATGACAGAGGCAACTGAGCCCAGCAAGATGAAGAAGTCCAGGGGGGCGTCGTTGAAGACGGCATCGAGGTTTTCGGAACCGATGACCTTGGCGGCAAGGGTATTATTAAACTGATCAACGTCCATGTCCACGAAGAAGCCGTCCTTCAAAACCATGGCGGCGTTGCAAACACCTGCGATGGGAGGCATAGTGTCGCGAACCTCCCTGACGACCTTTTCCACGGAATCTTTGTTGGTCAGGTCCATGGCCAGGACTTTGACCGTAGCGCCAACGCGCTCAGCTTCTTCCAGAGTGGCTTCGTCAACCTGAGGACGACGGCTGGTAATGACCATGTGTTTGGCCCCATTGCGAATCATCCATTGGCAAATTGATAGGCCCAGTCCTCCTGCCATTCCCGCCATGAAGTATGTCTTGTCAGGCTTGAACAGACCATCAAGGTTGAGAGGCTGGATAGTCGTTGAGATGGACACCTGTGTTTTCCAATCAGTGATGTATGGTTGAGTTTTGAGGGATATGGCGCCAGCTCCAGCAAGCTTCGCAGCGGGAATGAGGGGAACAGCAGTCGCTTCAATATCTGAGGATGCGCAAGCTTCTCCAAGGAGCTCTGCCACCGGCTTCGCAGCACCGCGAAGAGCTTCTTGCACCAGGTCGGCGCTGAGCTGTCGAACGATGCACTTGCTCGGCATACTCTGCGCAAGAGTGGCCGCAGCCGGAGAAGCGCCCAGGGAGCAGTCAATGTATAGCTGGACGTCACGAGGCACCAGCCTCTGGATGGCACGCTTGGACGCCAGAGCATGGATCTTGATGTCATTAGTAGGATGCCCATGACCATGCGTGGAGGCAAGTATCGTCTTGCTGCCCACTGCCGCAAGCTCAGCCTTGACCGATGCCGCCAAGGAATCGTCTGCCTCAAACAAGAGTACCGAGGCATAAGGGGCGGCCACAGTCGTGACAGCCCATGACAAGACGTAGTTTGCAATGGCAGAGAGATTATCCGGAGTGCAATCCTTTTCTTCAATGGGGAAGACGTGCGTTTCATCGACCTGTGCGATAGAGGCGTTGACATTGGTGATAGCAACTACCCACGATGACTCCGACCGTCCGCCGATGATGAAGAGCTCATCTCCGCTCGTGCTGGGGATGCGCGCCGAGTAATAAACCTTGATCGACTCAATCCCGTTGTCACTCTTGGTGGCGGCAGCGATTTGCAGAGACAGCTTTCCATCTTTCTGCACCACGTTAACGGGAGTCTTGCTTGAGTCGACAGTCTTGGTTATGGCGCGCTTGGAAGCATTGTACAGTTCGTTGAGGTCGACGTCGGGAACAACCCGAGGGATAATGATTTGATCGCGCACAATGTCGAGTTCCGGCTCCATGGACCACAGCATCTCACGATGACTGTTGCCTCCATCGGTACCGGTCTCTCGAAGCCTCAAGAACATTTCAACGGAGTTCTTCGCGAGGGCTGCGGGGGTCTCAGTGGCGTCGAGTCCTAAAACCTGAACGTTCAGCTGCGGGAGCTCAGAGGGGACCACTCGCATAATTCCGTCAATGAGATTGGCCCTTGGGTTCTGGGATTCTCGAGCACCAGTGACCCAGAGCAGGTTCTTTGCATTCATGAGGAGGGACTGAATGATGGCCATGCGATGAGCCGTAACGGTGTGGGAGAACGGAGGCTCATCAAAGTCCTGTAATGAAAGTATATCGATGCTGGGAGTGACTTTAGACACGTCGATCTCATCAATGCTTTTATATGCCAGCGTGTGGCGAGCCCATTTCTTCGGCAGCAGCTTCTGGATCTCTCTGACGACTTTGGACGTCGACAGTCGCTTGCCTCCAATGACGACGATGGGGTCAGTCGGGAGAGGAAGCTCAGCGACAGTGCTCAATGGAGACCTCAGACGTTGGAAGTCATCGTCAACAGCCTGGCCCATGATGAGGGCAGTGCAATGCTTCTCCTCGTCGGCCAAGTCGTGGATGACAGCATCTGCACCGGAAAACCCAGTGTCCTGCAGCAGCCTGTCCCATTCGACGGCTGTGACAAGAGGACTGAGTCGTCGGCCATCATTTTCGCCCAGCCACCATCCTGGAAGACCTCCCATGACCAAAGTGGCGCGGACACTCATGGTACCTGTAAGCTCAACCATGACTAGGAAGCCACCGGGCTTGAGCAGAGACCGTGCATGGCGCATCGTCTTTTCCAAGTCATGGGTGGCGTGGAGGACGAGGGCAGCGACAATGATGTCGTAGGATTGCTCCTCGAAGCCCTGTTCCTTTGGCTCCTGCTCAATGTCCAAGACCTTGAAGATCATCTTGTGGGCGAACTTGGCGAATTTCTCCTCGGCAAGGTGAAAGAAGCCGGATGAGACATCAGTGTAAGTGTACGACTCGTACGCATCGTCAATGCAGTTGAGCACACTCCACGACGTTCCACCAGTACCGGCTCCGATCTCCAGAATTCTGGCCCGAGGGAACTTGAATGACAGCTGTCGCATCACGTCACCCACTGCTTTGTTAGTTGGAACAGAGGCATAGCCTTCCATGTAAAAGCGGTTAAGCATGTCATCCTTGGTCATGACTTCGAGCATCTGCTTGTTTCCTCGGACAACATCAGCCAAGTCCTTGCCCACGGCGTGGAGAAGCTTGAAGTCAATTGTCTCGCCGTGCTTGGCGTCGAGTTCGTCCAAAATTGATGCCTCATCATCTAGCCACTCGGGCAGGATGATGGGATGTTCACCGCTCTTGACGACGCGAACGTGTTCCTCGAACGCCTCAAACATGCGCTGATGGTACCACTGGAAACCAGCTCTCTCCTCCTGGCCGACCTCCTTGAGGATGTTCTTGACGTAAAACAACGCAACGCGTTCGACGGCGTGGGCCATCTGCAGCCCTTCGGCATCCTTAACAGGATCTCTAATAGGATCAGGGAGGCCGAGGGTGACATCTTGGCCCCAGAGAGTCCTAGAGAACATTGATCGATCCGAAGAGGAGTCCTGCTCACCCACAGAGTTCACGGCCAGCCCCTCCACCTGCAAGAAAGTCTTGCCCGTTGCGGCATCGTAGACGTTGAGATCACCAACCAGCGAGTTGGCAGTTTGCTTGACAGCCCACGTCTCAAACTCGGCAGCAGTCTCAGCACCCCCACTCGGCTGTGCAAACTGCACCGATGGGTTGATGCGGACGCGATCTATGTGAGACGGCAAGAGAGCAGAACTGATTTGACGACTGGCCGGGTGAGCCTTTGCGATGAACATGGTCTGGAATGCCACATCGAGCATGGCGGGATGGACAACGTAAGCGCTATCCAGGCCCTCCGCCCAGGTGCTCTTGGTGCTGGCGTAGTCAAGCTGTCTATCAATGGTGGTAATACCGCGGAAAAGGCCAGAGTAATTGAGACCGATGTCTTTGAACAGGGAGTAGACCCTCTCCGTGTCGATACTAGTTAGGTTGGAAGGCATGGCTCCCTTGGGAGGCAGTGTGTCTTGAGATGCAAAGTCTGACTGTGTCTCAAGGTAGACCAAGATGTCGCCATTGCAAGTCTGCAGCATGGAGCCCAGAGATTCATCAGGGCATACGTAGTACGTGAACTCTGCCAAAATGTGGTCCTTTGTTGTCTCGACAATGCGCGTCGTGAAGAGAGTCTCGACACCATCGACACCTTCAGGAACGACAACTGGACGGAGGATATTGATGTTGGAAACCTCGATCAGTCGGACCCCCTTACCCATTGTCGCGGCAATGCTCTGGCCAGCCTGCACAGCGATAGAAACATACGATGCTCCAGGAAGAAGTACTTCTCCCAGAACCTCGTGTCCGCGAAGCCAGGGCATTTCGCTCAGCTTGAGGACGTTGCGCCAGCGTAACTCGGTATCATTGTCGTCGAGCGTGCGTCGTCCCAGGAGCTCGTGGCCCTGGTCATTGCCGAGACGGAACCGACGAGAGAGGCGGCCCTCACGCCAGAACACCTTGTCGTGATCCCATGAGTATGTCGGCAATCCCTTGGGGATCCTGAGTGCCGGCGTGCCAGCCTTGTAGAACAGACTGCGATAACCAGCAAAGTCAACAAATGCTGGCCCAAGCTGGGCCCAGGCGGTACCGATGGCGGAAGAGAAAGCTTCTACGTCGTTGCCGCCTCGTTTCAGGACGCCAGTATATACCGGGAGAGCGCCATACGAAGCCTTGAGCGTCTGCTCGGTTGGACCCTTCAGTGCCGGGTGAGGGCCAACTTCGATAGCCAGATCAAAGGGACCTCCATGCCAGATGGAGGACTCAATCGCCTGAGTAAACAAAACTGTACGGACCATATTGTCAACCCAGTATTGTCCCTTCAGAGAACTCAAATCACCCCTCAGAAGCTGTGTGTCGCCACGGACACTGGAGACCCAAGTACATTTACCCGTAGGCTGCATAACTTTAATATTGCAGGCCAGCAGCGACTTGAGATAGGGCTGCGAGCAAGGCAACATGTGATGCGAGTGGTACGCAGTGTCCACTTGTAAGCGACGCGCAAAGACGTTGTCCGCCTGCAGGATTTCGTGTGCCTTGGTAATAGCGTCGAGATCGCCAGAGAGCGTCACGGACTTGGGAGCATTGCTGGCTGCGACCTTAATCCGCCCATCGAATTCCGAACGAGAGCAGAATTGTTTAGCTTCCACAAACGAAAGACCAGCGGCCATCATGGCTCCCTTGGCACCGTTGGCGCCACCAGCAGACTTGGCATGCAACCCGCGGTAATAAGCGATCTGCATGGCGCCTTGGAGTGTAATGATTCCGGCTGCAAAAGTAGCGGCAATCTCACCAGATGAGTGTCCGACAACTGCGTCAAACTTGATGCCAGCCGCCTGGAGCAACTTGACCAATGCAAGTTGAACGGCTGAGCAGAGCGGCTGAGACAAGGCCGCCTCGGCGATGCGAGAAGACGCAGCGTCTTTCATGAGCTCTTCCGTAAGGGACCACTTGGGACGGTCTTTCTCGGGAAGGGCATTGAGAACGGCTTCACACTCCTGGATGTACTTGCGGAAGAGCGATGATTTTTGGATCAGCTCACGTCCCATTGAGGGCCACTGAGCTCCCTGTCCAGTGAAAACGCCAAGGACACCAGGGACCTCCTTCGGATTGATCAGCTGAGGCTGGTGACCGATTTGGTCACTGGCCGATTTCTCGTGGATCTTAACGAAGTCGGCCATCTTCTCTAGAATGGCATCTCTGGACGATCCTGAGAAGTGAGCACGACAACGGTGAGTAGTGCGTCTTGACTGCAACAACGCGCTCAAGTCGCGCAAATCAAGCGAGGGGTCCTTGTGCATATATTCAAGATTGTCCCTGACAGACCTCAATAATGATGCTCCTGACTTTGCGGAGAACAGCAGAGGACCAACGATGCCTTCCTCGGCGGAGTTGGGCCGGGGTACAGAGCCCTCCTCGAAACTCTCGATGATGGCGTGAGAGTTGGTTCCACCAAATCCGAAGCTGTTCACACTGGCTCGAGCGGGAGTACCTGGTGGCAGCTTTGGCCAGGGGACAGCCGTTGTAGGGATTTGAAGGGGCCCATAGTAGGGGGCGATGTCTGGGTTGAGGTCTTTGAAGAGGAGGTTTGGAGGTATAACCCGGTGTTTGATGCTGAGCAGGACTTTGATGACACCAGCAATGCCAGCGCCACCCTCTAAGTGTCCGATAACAGTCTTGATCGATCCAACGAATATGGGGTTCTCGGTCGACTTGTCGCCTTGGCCAATGAAGGCATTGCTAAGTGCCTGTGCTTCCACGGGGTCGCCCGCAGGGGTACCTGTGCCGTGACATTCGATATACTGAGGCCGGTCTTTGATGGGATCCAGCCCGGCGCGCGCGTAAGTCTCTTGAATAAGAGCAGTTTGCGTCGGGGAGAACGGCATTGTAATTCCCGGGCTCTGGCCGTCCGAATTCACACCAGTTGCCCTCACGAGGCCTTCGATGTGGTCTCCGTCTTTCAGAGCTTGGCTCAGCTTTTTGAGCAGCAGGGCACCGGCGCCTTCGCCACGGGCATATCCATTGGCAGCTTTGTCCCACATGCGCGATCTAGCGTCGGGAGACAGCATGTGAAGCTTGGATTCGTTGATGTATGGGGCAGGATCCAGGATCAAGTTGACTCCAGCAACGACGGCGGCATTGCAATCGCCGTTGAGGAGGCCCCGTGCGGCGTTATGCAAAGCCACCAAGGAGCTGGAACAGGCTGTGTCTATTGTCTCAGACGGGCCCTTGAGGTCAAAGATATAGGAGATTCGGTTTGACAAGATGCTGTTGGCTGAGCCGGTAGCGTTGTATTTAGGCACGGTCTCGGTATCGCGGGCCTGAATGTTTGCCCAATCCGATGTCATGCATCCTACATGAACGGATGTGAATGAGCCTCTCAACTCGTCCAGAGTCATCCCGGCAGACTCAAACGCCTCGTAAACAGCCTCTAACAAGATTCTCTGCTGTGGGTCCATGCCCGCAGCCTCGACTGGGCTGATGCCAAAGAACGCGGCATCGAAAAGGCGGGTATCCTCCTCAAGAAGGTAGGATTTGTTTCCAACGTCTGTAGCTCCGTGGGTATCGCCGCTCTTGTGGTGGAAGCGGGACAGGTTAAGTCGTTCCGGGTCAAATTCCTTCAAAGCATCACGGGGTTGTTGGAGGAGCTCCCAGAGCTTTGATGGGGAGCTAGATGCTCCTGGAAATCTGCAGCCAGATCCAATCACCGCTATCGGCTCGCGGAACCGCCCATCTTGCTGCCGTTCTTGATCCATGCTTGAATTGAATGATGAGAAGTTTGTTCTATGCAATGGTGCGTTGTGAGGTATAAAGAGTGACTATAGGATTTCAGGAACGGCGAACAATGACTGAGAGCAAGATGAAGGGGCAAGGGAGCTTGATTTCCAAACCCTCTCTCAATGGAAGGAGCTAGAGTATTTGAAGTGCAGATCATCCAAGGCTCGACCTGTGTCAAAGACGTTTGATACCATGTGAGCGCGGCCAATGCGGGAATAGCTGCTCCGTTAGACCATCTACCTTGACGTACGACATTGTCAAGACCATCTTACCTCTTCCCCATCCATTAAGACAACGCAAATCTGCATCTTACGCGAGACTACCAGTATACATCTAAATCCGTTGCAGAGATGTTTGCGGAGAATTGGGGATCAAGCGTACTAAGCCAGTGGGAACCGCGCGCAATGACCTTCCCAGGCATAATATGCCTAACATGAAGCACGTAGCGCTGCATGTACTAGTTAGTATTCCAATAAATTGAGCTGCTTCAGCTAGCAGGGACGGGGTGAGCGTTCTGGAAAAGAGAGGGTCAACAGATCGGGGCTATGATTCATGCCAATGCTGCACGGCTGCAGTCGAAAGTCGACGGTCCTGAAGATACACATTACAGGATGACTTTAACTGTAGGCCGTCCTGTACAGCCTCATTCGGAATATCGCTTACACTGCTGACTGTTGGCGCGTTCTGCATCTGGACCGCAGCACAGACGGCTCTCGGTAGCCGGAGTGGCGTGAGCCGCCGCTCCGTACCATCCCATACATTGGGCATGCATCTCTGGAGACAGGATGCTTGATGGTAAGCCTCCAACCCCAATATTCCGCTCAGATCTTAGTCTCGGGAAATCCTCCTCGAAATCATCCACTGTCGAACCCCATCCCCGGCCCGCTACCCGTCCACCCCCTGGCGATTTATTTTTGCGCCTTGCCTTAAATAGCATTTGCCGGCTACATAAGCTTATCTTATTTAGTCGCACCGATCTTCCTTCGTCGCGCACTGGAACACTGAATATACCGCCATCGATCGCTACAGCAGTAGTAATGTTACTGCGAGATGCAAGCCCCACGACATCCTCGTCAGCCATTTGACAAAATCACAGCATCCTTCGATACGTTCCTACATCCGTAATATCCAAGAGCGGGGGACTATGTAATCGTAGGTAGCGAATTACCTCCTTGGTAGTAGGTAGAGTTTCACATGCAACCAGTACCCCCCTCTACCCATGTACATATCCCATCATAGTTCAAACGGGACACTTTAGACGTGAGATTCATGTTCACCCGCCCTTGGCATATGTCGATGCTAAATTGGTGTATTAGTTTGCACAAATCGATTCGCTCCCATTGACCACGCAAGGGTCACCATGTGGGGGACCCTCTGAAGAGAAGCTCCCCATGCTCTGAACAGGCCGTGAAGGGCCTGTCAGACGCAGTGCGCTGTTCACGGAATATTGAATCCCAGGGTATACAATGAATGATATTGAGAAGGCCTTTGAGATTCAACGATAACGTCAGATACTATTCCGTTGAAGTAAAGCGCACCAGTCAGCATCTACACCTTAGCTACAACTGATGTTGAGCTCAAAAAGGATCAACGAAAATCTCTTGCTTGCAAAGAGGCCGGCCTACATCTTGAGCCAGGCCCATTCCTAACCCGAGTCCTTGCGGCTCCTGTAATTCTTTCTCTGAGACGTTCGTACCTTTTATGGAACAAACCTTCTTCTAGAACAAATATCCTTTCTATTAGGTTCATCCTGTTATATTATTTTGCGACAACGACAAGATACTGGAGCTTCCCCGTTGCTTTTGAGAGGAGACTCAATCAAACTCACATTCACAATGACTGCCATCAATGTGCTTCCGCAGACTCAGCGGGCATTGAAGATTGTCGGGCCCAATGCCGTCTCTGTGAACTCTTCCGCCCCTCTGCCAGATATTGAGCCAACAGACATCCTTGTCCGGGTCATCTGTGTCTCTATCAACCCGGTCGATGGCAAAGCAGCAGACATGTCACCACAGCTCGGAGCTACGAGCGGCACCGACTTCTCTGGTGTTGTCGTCGCTCTTGGCGCAGATGTCGAGGCGGATGATTGGAGGGAACGAAACAACATGAATTCCGTCAAGATTGGAGACCGTGTGTTTGGAGGAGTCTTTGGCAACGACCCGCTGAGACCTCATAATGGCGCGTTCGCCGACTATGTTGCGGTCCCGGCACGCCTTGTCTGGCACATCCCGGATGGTATAGACTTTGCAACCGCCGCAACTATGGGTGCCGCGATTGCTACGGTCGGGTTGTCACTGTTCAACTACTTGGGACTTCCGCTGCCATCCAAGACGAGCAGCAATGGCGCTTCCAGCAACAAGCCGGCAGTTCTGGTGTACGGTGGAGGCACGGGTACCGGTTCCATGGCCATCCAGGTTTTGAGAGAGGCTGGACTGCCAGTCATCACGACATGCTCGGCTGCCTCTTCCAAACACGTTCTTCAGCTAGGGGCTGAGGCTTGGTTCGACTACAAGTCACCCACCTGCGGCGCTGATATCCGAGAGCATACCAATGACTCTCTTGCTTTTGCGTTGGACTGCATTACGGACACTGTGTCTATGGGAATTTGCTATGAAGCACTGGGCTCTGCTGGCGGACGATACGTCGCTCTGGATGCCTTCCCTGTTCGAGGTCACACGCGTCGCAGCGTGATACCGGAGTGGGTTTGCACACCTACACAGTTTGGCAAGGCCATTCGCTGGACACCCCCCTATGATCTTGAGCCCCGACCATATGATCTCAAATGCGCTGAGCTCTGGTACGTGGTTGCGCAAAGGTTGATTGACCAGGGTCTCATTGCGCCTCATCCGCTGGAAAAGAGAAGCGGCGGACTGGCTGCTGTTCCTGAGGGTATGGAGGAGGTGCGAAGAGGTCAAATCAAGGGAAAGAAATTGGTTTATACTATTGTTGACAGCGAGCCTATTGCTGCGTCGGCTTAAAGAGTTCTGTGTACTATTCCATAGCGGCACGTTCGTTCAGGGTATATGGTATGCATCGCCTGGACAGAATGCATTATAAATTAAAACTTGTGAATTAGATCTCTTATAAGCTTTTGTTCAATTAATAACAGAAAAATAATCTATAGGTAATCTTTTCAGGGCGGGCTTGCTCATAGTATGTACCTTCAGTACTTGGGTATTACGCAGGCCCAGCGATCAATGTTTTTTCTGTTTGCCGGGTCGGTCACTTTCTATGTTTACCACAGAAGGGCAGCTGATTATAACAGCAAGGATTCGCTACTGACGATCATTCAGAAAGAAGTCTAAAAGAAGAAGTCTTATTATGGCAGCTCTATTGTCAAAGTTACAATCTCGCCTCGCGTGTACCAAGTTCCACTTGCAGCGTCCAACTGTTCTGCTTCATCCCAGCATCTCTCCCCTGCCTGAACACGGAATTCCGATATTTCTACGTCTGTGTCTTCGACATATTTCTGAGATGCCCCAAATACCATGCCTATGGAAAGATCAGCATCATGTCCCGCTTGAACTTTAACAGAAGTTACGCACATTATCCATATGCACATTAAGGGCAGTAATGCCCATTTGTCGGATGAGCCAGGGGGCTTCAATTCTTGGTGAGTAGAGCGTCGCATCAGAGTCCTTGACTTCGTGATTGAAGATGACAGTCTTGGGAAGCAGAGGATTCACAGCGGCTGGGCGAACAATTCCTACCATTGAGCAGGTTCCATTGGCGACAGCTTTCTCAATGCCTTCGCGGCGACGGAACCCCCCGGTTAAGAGTAGCGGAACGTCTGGGAACTTCGATGCAACAATTTTCGCAAAATCTATAAAGTAAGCGTCGCTGGTGTTTGCGTCTGCCATAGCGCTAGCCTTCGGAGGACCAAGGAACATCTGTACCAGAAAGGTGGCATTGTTAGACGTTAGACCGAACAAAGAGCAATCAGCCTGGGAAGAGAAACTGACAAGTGGGTTTTCAAACGTCCCGCCACTGATCTCAATGAAATCGACACCGGCTGATGTGACGAGCTCTAGCTGACGAACTCTATCCGCCAAAACTTCCGGAAACCGGGAGTCCACCGAATTGATTGTAACGCCTACGCAGAATGAGCTCGGCACTTCTGACCGAATCGCGGCGATGATATCGAGAAGAAACTTGGCTCTTTTCTCCGTAGAGCCTCCATAAGCATCCGAGCGTCGATTTGTCCTCTCGGTAAGAAACGCGTCGATCAGATAGCCATGTGCAGCATGAATTTCGATGCCCGCGAAGCCGCTTCGGTGGGCGAGACGTGCTGCACGAGCGAACTGCTGGGTGATTGCCCGGATCTCTGCTATTCCCAGCTCTCGCGGTTTTCCGAAGGCAATGGCAGCGACAGCTTTGGGGATAATACCATCGCCCATATGAAGGCCAATCGAGGTCGGGGCCACATTCTTCGAAAAGTATCCATGCGTCCCGGCCCCTATTGGGCATTGTCGACCCGGATGATTGAGTTGCACCAAAGTCGGTGTTCCGTGTTGCTTACACACGCTTGCCCAGGGCTCCCACGACGCCACAATAGCATCGTCACTGGCTCGTGAATCAACCGCGAGGTCGTTGGCCGTGCCGAGATATCTGTCATCAACCTGGACATTTCCTGTAGTGTACAGTAGTTAGCAAGGCTATCTCTTCTCTCGATCTAGCTGAACACAGTTTCTCCAGTAGATGCATACCGGTGATGATCATGCCCCAACCGCCCTTGGCCCAATGCTGGTAGACGTTGCGAATCTTATCCTCTGGCAGAGATTTAGCCGTCGCAATTCCCTCTGACATGGAAGCTTTCACGAGTCGATTCGGCAATGTCAGACCACATCGCAGCGTTATTGGTTGGGAAACGTGCGATTGTGCCATGGTGTCGATTCTGCCGCATTCAATAAGAGGTTCAGATTCTCTCACGGTGAGATTCTCTTGCTGCACGTCCACATGAACGCAATGGTATCTAGAACAATGACGACATCACCTGCAAGACAGGCTCAACATTAGCAGGCACACTGCGCAAGATATGCCATTGGAGACATATTGCTCGATATGCATGGCCCAGTATGAGCCGGGGGCATTGAACAAGTTGCTCGGGTTAGCAAACACGGCAGACTTCGCCAAGTACGACTCCGCTACCTCTCTTACGGGGACTGCAGGGCTAGGCAAGTGTGCCCCCAACGCTCTGACATGTCAATTTGCCCTCGTGCAGGGTTCGAAGGATCATGTCTCTCCGAGAAACAGGTTACTGCATTAGCCCATGCCGGGGACTTAGTAGTATATACTGTAGAAGAAGGATGTCCCCCACAATATTCCGTGCGTCGATTGTTCGTATCCTGACAACGGTTTCAGCTGGACAACTCCACAACATGACCCGGGGCTCCGCGAAGCCAAGAACTCGGGTGCTGCAAGTAGTACTACGTAGTACTACTCGTACATGCTTCGTACGCGTCAATTCGCTCCGCCCACCTTGTGGGTACTGTGTCATATCAGCCTGTAAATAGCCCCATCAGGTGGTAGCCTTTGATCGGACAGAGTAGGTATGCGATAATGGCAGAATCGACATGCGACTTTGAGAGGCAGAACGGCTGGATCAAGGGGAAACTCTCCGGTAGCTGAAAGAATCATGCGACTTACGATAACCACAGTGTTAGAAGTCTGATTCTAGTAGTAAGAGTCGATTGTCGCCAGGTACCCTGTATTAATCTGCGCCGCACTGGACTAAGCAACTGTAGATACCAAGCTTCTCCTTCTACCCAATAATCAGATCTTTGTGCAACTATCGTGGATTTTGAGAAGACAGTAACGTAGACTCGTAATGATAATTTTCCTTCTGTTTGGAAGCTAGTCACTAGTATACATTATATCATAGTACCTAGTGGCTTCGTTGATATCCTAGCCACAAGTACATAAATCACTGATATAGAAGAGATTCGCAGACAGTGAATAACTAAATATAAGGTATCTTGAAAATAATCCTTTTATACCCTCAATTCTAGGAGGAACAAGCGGCACATTAAAAGCATCCTACGAAAGCGGTCTTTCGCACGCGAAAGGCATAGAATTTGAGCTTGTCAAGGATGCAACCCTTTAGTGAGACATTGGAGGACTGGAATGCAGAAAGAGGCAAAACGAAAAAGATGGTAATGAAACAAAATAGCCACAAGCTCAAATATCAGAAGACTAGTATCTTATCGAAGTCTGAGAGCTTCCAATCCATAACATTATTGATAATATCATAGACTCACTTTTCCAGCATGTGCAGCAGCTACTTGCTTTTGGGATTCTCAATCTTTTCCCCGGGCTTCGTTGCAGTAATCGCAACGAATCTCCATCGTGATCTGCCAGCATATCCGCTCCTAGCACAGATCATGTTGATGAAGCTTTTCTCGTTTCCAAACAGCCTGAAGAAGAGATAAGGGACCATAACGAGCGAGTAAAACAGGCGCAAGATTGGCAGGATATTTGGTTGCCAGTCCCGTACTTCAACGTCGACGAAACCGGCCTCTTCCAGAAGATTTTTGAAATAACCCTCGCTTGCGGCCTCATTCGTTGGCATGACCGTATAGTCGTTGACCATTTTCAACTCCTGAGTCAGTCTGTCGTTGGGGTCGTCGTGCTCAGCAGCCGTCTTGCGCTCAACCTCGACCATGGCGATCCTGCCGCCTGGCCGCACTACTCTGAAAAAGCCTGCCATTGCTTTCTTCGGATCGACAGCGTGACCAAACGCCTGCATGGTGTAGACACCGTCGAAAGATTCACTGGCGAGGCGATCGAGGTGATGGTAGTCCATCTTCTCCACCGACATCATTTCCTTTGACAAGCCTGCCTCCTTCGCGGCCTTACGGGCATCTTCAATCGCCCAGTCGATGATATCAATGCCTAAGACGCGCAGTCCATGTTGAGCCATGTACCGTGCAACGTGGCCAACTCCACAACCTGCATCTAGAATATGAGATCCCTTAGGGAGAGCTAAGATTTCCATCAACTTTTGCTCCATGCTATGTCCCGGTGGCACAAGTGTGAGCTTTTCGGTTGTTCTACCACAGAAGCCATCGGCTTGGAGGCTTACCGACGAAGTTTGGACCCCAGCGGAAAAGGCCAGTAGGTATCTTTGTCCCAGTAGCCAAAATGCTGTGTCCCACCCATAATCACTTGGTAGACAATGCGCGAATCCCATGATTCGTAGTAGGCTCGCAGAGCCACATTGTCCGTCATAATGGCCTCTGCTTCGGTTGTTTGAGTGGAAGACATGATGTCGAGATTGTCTATTGAGTCGTCTTGCAGATGAATAACGCAGCAACGCTTGCCCACTTTCTTCTCTCTTACGGCTTTTTTTTTTGCTTTTGACTTTTTCTGTCCTCCTTGGATAAAGGCTGAGTACTCAGCAGTATATCCTACGACGCCAGTCTGGTATGCGACCAGGGAGAGAGTAACTGTGCCGTGATTCCAGGGTGCCCCAGAGCTTACTGTCAATTAGCAACGTGAGATGGAATTTTCCGTGTCTGAGCACCCGCAATCCTTGGCCGAAGGATCGGAGACATGACAAGGATGCTATGCTTATGGCTAGTGTACAAGTTGCCTATGCATCACATATTCCATGGTGCATGTAAGTGCATATGATCTGACAGTTAGGCTGAGCTCCGGAATATGCCCCACCGTGAGATCGAGGCTCCAGGGCACATATCCCGGATATCTCATCCTTGCCCGGTGTCATGCCTTAGCTGTACTTGAATCAGACAATGATCTGAGGAACTTACGATTTTACTGTCCGATAAAGCCCTTCAAACGGATGAAAGGAGGCCATATCAGGACTGAGTTGCTTTGTCCTGGAGAATGAGACATTGTTTTCCTCTCTAAACAACTGCGTGGTAGATTGTTCAAGTTCACTGAGTTCAAGTACGAGGTATAGTGCTGCAGTTCCGGACGTTTCGTCCGCTCTCAGGATCCTCACATCAGAAGCAGGAGCATACTCTCGCCGCAACCATGTTGTTGTACGAGTACGTCAACAGCTTGGGCGGCTCGCACACGGTCACATTAGCGGCCCTGGGCGTGAGCGTCTTGGTCGTTCTATTCACCAGACTTTTTAGCGAGGGCACGAAGGGGGCCGAAGCTGGCTGCAAGCCTGTGACCCGTGTCAGGCAATGGGAGCCTTTCTTCGGGCTGGACATGGTGTATAGCCAGCTGCAAGCTCTAAAGCGCAACTACTACCTGGATTGGCTAAGGAATCTGCACAAGGGCAAGCCGAAGACATTTGCCATCACGTTCATGGGAGTCAAGCAGATTTGTACCATTGAGGGTGAAAACCTCAAGGCCATCCAAGCAACAAACTTCAAGGACTTCGGACTGGAGCCCATGCGCCGAAAGACCAAAGGTGCGATGCCATTTGCCGACAAAGGTATTAGCACAACAGATGGAAAGAACTGGGAGTTTGCTCGATTTCTTGTGAAGCCTTTCTTCTACAGAGAGGTGTACGCTAGCATTGACCGAATCGACCCTTACGTCCAGAAATTTTTCGCCCTTCTGCCAGAGGAAGATGGCGTTACGTTCGACATTCAGCCTCTGATTCAGCGATGGGTAAGTCTTTGCCCTTCCCATTCTCCATTCTCTCCTCACGATGCGTTTTATACTCGGTGGCTGTTGGGTTACTGTTGCCAGTGTCTAACACCGACCCAGTTCCTCGACTTGACAAGCGAATTCATCTTTGGAAAGACTATGGATTCTATGACCTACCCCGATCGTGCCAACATCACTTGGACAATGCTGGACGTTCTCCGAGGCGGTCGACTTCGTATTCAAATGTATAAGTTCCTCTGGGCCTTTAACTGGAACTGGTGGCTCAAGGCAGTTTACGAAGTCCATGATTTCGTCAACGTGCACATTCGAAGCACATATAAGGAGCTCGAAGAGCGCGAACAGCGTATCAAGGACGGGCTCCCGGTTGGCCCCGAGCGTGTTGATCTTCTGTGGTACATGGCCACACACGTAAGGGATGAAGAGGAACTGAGGTCCCAGCTTTGTTTGGTGTTCGTTCCAAATAACGACACTACTTCCATTTTCATCAGCAACTGCATCTGGCACCTGGCTCGCGACCCAGAAGCGTGGCAGAAGCTGCGCAAGGAAGTCCTTGACTACGGTGATCAGCCCATCACGTTCGAATCTTTGCGAAGCATGCCCTATCTGAATGGGGTTCTAAATGAGAGTAAGAAGCCTTCCTTTCTTCTGCTACGGTGCGATATTGGTCTGACCACTTTTATGTAGCACATCGACTGACCCCCAACAACATCGTCCAAGTCCGCGCCTGCCTCAACGATTCGGTCTTGCCTCTAGGAGGCGGTCCTGATGGCAAATCGCCATTATACGTGAACAAGGGCGACCTTGTATCGGTTACAAAGACCGTCATGTACCGTGATCCAGACGTTTGGGGCCCCGACGTTGACGTGTTCCGACCGGAGCGATTCTTTGGCCTTCGCGGCAATTGGAACTTCTTGCCTTTTGGCGGCGGTCCCCGTCGATGCCCTGCGCAGATGATGGTCCAGACCGAGTCAGCCTATATGCTGTTCCAGTTAGCAAAGAGGTATTCGAGCCTCGAGTGTCGTGATCCTGAGCCATACACTGCCGTAATGAGGATTGGGCCGTCCAATATCAACGGCGTAAAGATTGCTTTTTACAAATGATGGAAAGTCTCCCATGGCAACGGAATCGGAGCTCTCGGAAGGATTCACAGATCCAGAATCTTCTTAGTTTAACCAATATCTCCTATTATACAGTTCATCATGACGCGTTGAGCCATTCTTGCAAAATATGACATCTGCGCTTAACACTTAAGCCCCTGTTTCCAGCAGTTGTCTCGTCACTGATATAGCTTCTTAAACTTGTTAAATTCTCATACGCGGCCACTTTCGCAAGGGAACCCTCTCCTGAATGCCCCTATAACGTTTGAGGAAGCCGCAAGCTATAATGACGATGATATTCTCACGTGGATATCCCCCGTTTGGTGTCGCAGTGGCCTTGCCATCTATGTTGGCGTGAGTTGGACATCTGCCCACTCTATAAGGTCTGTTTAGGCAATGACGCATTCGTTCGATCTGGCTTCGTTATGGCCCGTGAAGCTGGAGCTCATTCCCGCATTTACCATGTACGATGTACTACTATCTTGCAATGCTATCCTCCACGTACTAACATAGAACTAAGGCCCCGGCGGAGGGGGGTTTGGTTATGAACAAGGGTGTGGAATTGATTACGATAATGCTCCATTGAACCGACACAATAAGCTCGTGTGTTGGGTTTGTAGCAATAATGGCTATTCATTGGACGACAAGGTATGACACCAAGGAGGTGCTTGTCTGTAAAGGGCAGACTGAGCATGAGACAACCGCTTTGTCAAGCCTTACAACTATGAAACATGAGCATCTGGATACGGAGGTATCTATCACCTCGCGTGGATTACTATTAAGCGTGTCCTCACAAATGAATCCAGCTTGGGATATGAAGAAAGCTGTTGATTCCATACCATTAATCCCATGCAACGTCCATGCGCGCCAAGCGAGGATGACACCGATTCCAATAGTCTTCCAAATTGAATCGCTAGCTTGAATTATCTCAATCAACCATCGGCGACTTTTCCAATTCCGGGACTTGTCAGTCATCCTGTCATACATTTATGGAACTACATCTCCAACATGGTGATAACGATCCATGTGGTGATAAATGTGGGATGATCTCCTTTGTACGCCTTGCAACCCCCTTACCTGATTCATGTACCATTATACACCTGGCATTTGGCATAATCGTAGATACTTGTCCAGCCTTGAATTCTTTGCTGTGGCATATTCGGCTTCCATGTTCCTTTGGCACTCACTCACATGGTATTAGGTACTCCGCCGTATCCTTCAATCATCTGCTCCAATCCCTTGCGGCTTAATCAGGGTACATCGTACATATTCCCGCATCTCCAGTACACCTCGGACACATTTCGCAGGTCAGCATTGCTGGGATGATGGTTAATAATGCACTACAATGTCATCGACGATTCTCGACGCTCAACCTGTTTCTCGGTTGCAGCATTGCTATTATAATTCTGAGTCCAGGTGACGGGGACTGTCAAGTTCGCTTTCGGCTCGGAAGATTGAACGGCAAAGACAACTGATGGCATCTATTGGTATCCTGAGTTATTTAAGATGTCAATGTCTAGCGTATAGTGCACCCGTAGCTGAACGAAGCAGCCCTGGCGATAACCGCCGGGAAATCGAAACATTGGGGTCGGCCACGATGACATTGCAGGTGCATCACTTGATGAGTGGTCCCATCCATCCCCCCAGGTTTGCCAGGTTAATACGGAGTACAGAGTACAGCTAACGTGTATCGCCGTGGACTTAAGCGACTATGCGCCGCTTCTGGAGCCCCTGCTCCATGATATCGCAACACAGCGTCAGCGCGGAATAGCCAGCCGATGCAATAACCTGGTCAGTTTCCCTGTCTCCCCTCATCATTGCCCCGATGTACGCTTCCGCGCAGGAGCAGAAGAGGAACTCGCGTGCCGACGTGGCCCCCGCTGAGGTTCGTACTCGTCGCTCGAGAACCGTGACGTACGCCTGGATTGTCCCTTGGAGTTGCCGCCAGCTTGCGCCGTTGACTGCCGGGAAGAAGCTGTCCTCGAGCTCGCTGATCATGTCAAGGCAAAGGGCTAGAATAGCATGCCACTGCAACGTGGCAAAATGCCCTTGGCCGTATATCCGAAGAGCTGTTAAAGCGTCTGAAGCAGCAGACGCGGCCGAGGCGCCTGTAGAACTGGTGGAATTGGCGGCCATGGCGGTCATGCTGTCAGCGGTGGGGATGGCTTCGTCAAGCCCACTGGTCGGAGGAGGCGCTGCCGTTGAGCCGGGCAACTGGCTGGCCAAAAGCAGCATTGAAACCTCCATCCGCACTCTGCGAGAAAAGTAGTATGCAGGATTCGCCGTGGAAGAAGCAGCAAACTTGGCGTGCGGTGCGAGCACAAACGGCAGCGTGAAGGCGTCCAGCAGCTTGAGCTGAAAGACTGTGGGCTTCTTCTGCAAAGTCAACAACCTCTGAATCCCTGCACAGTAGACCGCCCTCAGCTCAGCCGAGAGCCGGTGTGTGTCTTCAAAGGACTTGGCAGCCCCTGGAGAATGCACTACGTGTAAGATCTGCAGCCGTAGGCGTTGCGTCTGCGCCAGGATGACCAGTGGGTTCGTCCTCGGCAATCCGTAATCCATGAAAAAGCTCGTGAGAGAGGCGGATGACCCCGGATCAGCTTCGGCACCGGTCGTGTCGTCGTCTGCAAATTCTGACGGGGGCGCGCAGTCGTAGCTTTCTGGAGAGATCGGGGCTGGGAGACCATGGTCAAGGGACAGCTGTAGGGATAATTCCAGCATTGTCGCCCACAGCCGCCGACGAAGCTCGACCTCTCGGGCCGGCATGTCTGGATCGACAGTGGTGGGATCACGATGCAATCCCATCTGCATCGCTACTCGGGTTAGGTCATGGTCCCCAGGAGACCACAGTGAGCCGGTCGAGGCCGTGTTGATCGGGCCTGTGTGCCGTGACAGCGCCAGTAAACAGATGACTTGTGCAGTGTTTGTGTCTGCTCGGGACCCTGCCATTATCTTCCGCGCCAGCCACTGCTTCCCGTAAGCGACCCATTGCTTTGCCTGTTCTCTCAGACTGCTGCCGTCCTGTCGCTGATCGGGGGGAGCATCAACCGCAGCGTCGAGGTCGGGGCAGACGAAGGCGCCCAGGGCGATGCATATCACCAGCTTGCACAGAAACACCTGATCAAGATCCGGCGGGCAGTTGGAAGGAGACCCGGCCCAAAATCGTCTGTAATCATGGCGAAACCCCGGAACATGCAAGATGCGCAGCACCGACTCATAGGTGGTTAGATATGCATCCAGCAGCTTATCACAGGTCTTCTGCGGTGGAAGCAGCTTTTTCACCGCATGAACAGAGAGATCGGGGTTCACTGTCCAGTTCAGCGCCATGCCGGACGCCGTAGGCCTTTTTGCTCTTGTCTGACGCTCGAGCTTGACAAATCTTTCTATAAGCGGCCGCAATGACTCGTCTCTCGGTTGAAGTACTATCGGCCCATTGGAGCTTCTCAGCCCATGCAGTACAAATCGCAGTCTTTCGCACTTGTTGATGGCTTCTTCCCAGCAATTGGCGAACTGACTGTGAGCAGCGTCATTGGGAGCGCTCCTTGGTTCCGGATCTAACATCGAGTTCGCCGAGGTCCAAGATGTATGGTCGTCGCTCTGTGTCGATAAGTGCCCGGAAACAGCGGTAGACACATCCGAAAAGGCCCCAGCGTTCGCCTCTGGGAACGGATCACCGGTTGAATGCGCAGGAGCAGAGCTGGAAAATGTGTCTTCAAGACCTAGGAAGGTTGCAAGGCTTGTGTCATCATCACGCAACTGCGTTCTTGTAGTGGTCGTCGTGTCAATGGAGAACAGATCGAGATGTCCGGAATCGCCGTCCTCGAAAAGCGAATGTTGTTTGTTTGACTGGGCATATCCAAGTTGGGAAAGCCCGGTATGTACGTTGTTGTTAGCATGACGGTTGTTGTTGTATGCAAATGGCTGGAAGTGAGTGTTGTTGTAGATGCATCGGGTGTTTGGAAGCTTCCTGCATGGGCCACAGGGCGTCGCACTGTCACATCTGATCTTTCTCCGTCGGCACTCGATACACGCCGTGACCGGACGCCGTCGTTTGTAGGTGGTGCCTGAGTCCATCTAAAGATGATTTACTGAGTTTGATGAAAGATGTTGAAGCAAGACAGTAACCTTGTAGCTGCATCATTGCGTTGCTGGTAGGCAGTAATATATTTATAGGCAGCTCTTCTTGGAAATTCCCCGATCGCGTGCATTGACGAAGGATCGAACATGCACAGCCACTAAGGCCGTTTCGATGTCGATGAAGTCCTGCAAAATCTCTACAAAAGCCCCGAAAAGAGATAGAAGATGCCGCTGATTATCGATAGACGTCTATTACAAGGAATGGTGACTATCGATCCAGCACCTACTGCAATACTATATTGTCAGCGCACGGAGTAGTATACAAGCAGCTGTTCGTGACTGTTTAACAATGCCCATGGATTCTTGGGTTATGAAGGCCCAAGTGCTGACGAGAATACGCAACGCAAAGTGCCGATCCCTGGCTTGCCCAGCATATCCCTCTCGACTACTCCACAAGAGGTAGGTCTTACTGCTTTGAAGCTCCTCTTTTCTTTGGAATCACCTGCATATCGACGGCTACATGTGTGAAGTATATCGTTGACGCATTGTATTGCGCGCGCCATCACTTGCTCTCATGCAACTGTTTCTATAACGATGGAGATTGATATAAACCATCTTTAGGCGCATGTCGCCTTTGCACAAAGGGAAACCAACTTTGTCCCTCACGAGTTAATAAACTAAGCTTCGTAGCCACCGTTTGCCTTGCCCTTCTCTGCAGATACCTACTATCTTGAGAGTCAGAATTTAGTGCTGATATAATCTGTGCTGTCATTTCGATACGAGTTCTTGTTCTGGATATAGTACGTTACAGCTACTAATAGCACAGCTTAGCCATGCAAACAGCATTACAGAGCGTTGACTCGGCTCTTGCGAGTTTAGACGACCTTTACAAAGTATAGAGTAGGGATGCTACGAAATTATGCGCTACGCCCTAATATCATACATACCGTTTCCTTCGAGACTAAGGTAATTGGGGAGACGGGACGCAACGTGCCTCGAGATCTACTGGGAGATGTTTTCTTTTCGGCTTCTAGAAGGTAACTAGTTGCAGATTACTGACCGTATCGCACGATGCGACTGCGAAGGTGACTGAAAAGAGGGCGAAAATAACCATTGCCAGGCACCAGTCGAGCATGTCTATCACATTTGTCAGGAAGACTGAAAACTTTTGATCATGGCCTAGAGGTTGCTGCAATTCGACGTTTGTAATGAACAGGGCTGACAAATGTGGCATCATTGTCACCAAGTTCCTTGATGGCCTATTGTGCCTAGTTAGACGGGTTTGCAGAGTGTAGGGCTGAAGTATGCGTACGTAACAGAAATGATCTGGTCCTCTGCCATAGTAGACTTGAAATCGAACTATAACATGGACAGACATGGAGCAGTGCCTTTCCACTGCTCTCGCTCTTTGATTACTCGAAGAGCGAATGGAAATGAGCCGTTACTTCTCTGAGGATATTGACTGCGACCTTTCGATAAAGGTGATGCTTATCTAAGCAACAGCGACACATCCATATCAGCTACCGTTGCATGCTGAAAGTTTCCAGCAGTTGCGTTTTGACATGCACTGCGATCACTTGCGAGCCTTCATCCAACCAAAAATGAGTTCAATAATAGGGCTGTATTCTCTTCAGTAACGTAAAGATGATGCTGTTTTCATAAGGAGAGAGACCAAGACGTGACATCAAAATGGCTATGTAGCATAACCAAACCTTGGCGAGAGAGGACAGCCCAGTATATAGGGACAACATCTCTGCTTTCTACTGATATATGCATTAGGAATATGGCGGCTGTAACCCGGCAACTGGATTTTGCTCTGAAGGGTTGGGAACCGCTCTGCGTGAATTTAGTAGATCATTTGCAGCCAGATAGCATACCAAAATGTTTGCACAATGACAATGGTCCCATTTCCGCTGACTTTGGAGTTATCGCAAGGCGCTGCCTATGGTTTATACACCGAAAGACAGACAATATTACCATTCGCCCTATCAGAGCGGACAGTTGACTCTTATAAGACAGTTGTAGTATGATTAATATCCTCGCCCCAGTAAAGTGAGTGTGTAGGTTGTATGACATATAACAGCAATATCTGGCAGCTGCTTCGTCTTGAGAAAAGATAACATTAGCATCTCAATACATCTGCGAAGGCATCGAAGCTTCTGATCACGTTGGCCTCACCAGAATGAACGCTAATGGGCCTCCGCTTCATCATGAATCCTCACATATACAAGAAACTCTATTCTATTCTATGCATAAGCAGCACGTTACATGGGGTTAGATGATACCACTACCAGGAAAGTGGACTACTAGCTGCTAGAAGGGATAGAACGATGCAGTGATGAAGGCATACTGACGTATATGATGGAGGACATCAACATCGCATATCAATATCTCCAACGATTGTATTTTCTGCTTGGTATAAATTGGGCGTCTAATAGAAAGCTCTACCTTGCGTTTGTCTGTTTCATTGCATGTGCCTATGTTGTAGCCCCCTGATATCCTATTACCAAAGGCTGTCAATATTATTTCCTGTTTTACAAACTTATATTGCTTCGTTTAAAGCGCATTCCAACTGCAGACCAGCATTCGACCTACTTTCGTAGCGCCGTGATATATTGCCATCTGCGCTCTTTGCTCCATACGCCTATGACAGCATGGCTCGTTCGCGCGATTCGGTCCAATTACGGCCATATGAGCATTGATGATAATGCAGAGGCAATCCCAAGCAGTTATTAGACGCGTTACTCTCGGATATTCCAATTAAGTAGTAATACAGACGACGTGATGGACCACGGGCTACCTTCAGGTCTCGGAGAGACTTAGGCCCGAAAGTAATACCATCTTAATCCAGAGAAAGAGGGCTAGTTCGGTGCTACTTGGTGGAGCGGCTTGGTCAATAGACGAATGACTTGTATGAGGCCGTGCTTGAGTCTCTATATGGCCAATTCGATTGGATGATACGAAACAGGTAGCTCGACAGCTCGTACGATCCCTGCGGCTTCCGTAGACTGCCAAAGGCTGAACAGGATACGAATCACCTCACTGGGAACTCCGTATATCTGGTTTGTTTCCTATGGCTTTTTCTTTTTTCGCTCCTTACGCGCTGCTCAAACTTTAAATTAGCTACATGAAGCGGAGGGCAAGAATTGCTCAGGAATCGCCGTAGAATCGAAGTATACTAGCAGAATGTAGTTTATTCTTCATCCAGCTCATTGGCCAACTACTTGCAGACATAGTTCTAGATCTCCTCTGGCTCAGGCAGCAATACAACCCCAGGCAGATGCAGAAGTCTGCCGCGGTATATTTCTGTGAGCTTCTCAGCGTTGCAGTGTGTAAGGTTACATGCCGTCGGAATATATGCCGCCCTGAGTCTCGTCTCTCCAAGTTTCTTCGCAGTCAATAAGTTCCATTCAGGCAGAATTAAGCATGATGCGGGCTGGATGGAGTATCACACTCAGCGTAGCATTGCTAACAGCGGTGACTCGGGCCGTGAAGAAACATGGAACCCTACGGGATAGAAATCGTCCCCTACGGAAGTCCGATCAGACGCGCTCTGTATGCCGAGGTTGATCATGATCCGGGTTTCCAAACGAATGACACCAATCGACTAAGCAGGAGAAATGTCTTGCAGTATTGAGCACTGCTGAGAGCCAGTACATGCAGTCCAGTCCTTGTTCTATTAACCGGTGTTGGCTGCGGGCTGTTTGAAGCACCAGCTCTAACTCGTCCGGGTTCAATATTGCTGCCGAACGGGTTTGCTTATCCGGTCCGTCGGGCTCATCCGCTATTCTCCATAAATTGCCACGGAATTGACGGGAGTTTTTTGAGCGGGGTTCACAGTCACGCGGGGTGCAGGACACCATCTTCACCTGCAGCAGAAGCGGCAAGCCGACTACATGTCGACTGCTTATAGTACGTATTTTATTGCGTGGGCCTTAAGCGCGGCTTCTAATGAGGTTGATAAGGTGGGTTGAGCGGCTATAGACAGGTTGAAGGAGTTTGCTTACCGTTTACTAGGTAGACACGTAGTAGTAGTAGTACGCATTCCGGAGGCGCTTGACTGTAAAAGGAAGGCGGCAGACGAGGATAATTGAAGCTGTAGAGAGGTTGTTCAATGTTAGGAACATACTAATAGCATTGACGTTGCGTTGCCAGCAATGCAACTCCATAGCGCTAGTTCTCTATGCGCAAGGGTGAAATTGCGGGGGATCAACTCAGCTGATGTCTTCTCCTTACATACAGCAAACCCGCCTTTACGATCGCTGGCTTTGTTGCAGATCCGGACGCCATAACCGTTGCGGGGAGCCGGGAAATGCATGGGTGGCGGAGGAGTTTGGGGACCTTTGGAGCTTACAACTTGGAAGCCGCCGTGGGACACGAGTGAACGCCGGCCATTGAGACGAAGGGAGAGACTTGGCTGTTTCTTCGGCCACCGCAGTAAGTCCTCCATGTTTGAATTGACTGACATCTGGTTTGCCCATTGAGCTCCAGAGCTGTGTTGCTTTCTGCTTCCCACGCTACCTCCACGACCGTACATCTCAAAGCGAGGCAGGATCCGTGGTCCGGCTGGACTGCAGCGACGCTTGCCGCTCGACGGATCATCGCCCACTTTCCATGGAGCTCGGTTCAATGCTCGGCGCTTTAGCTGCAAGATCCCAAGGCGTAGAGGAGAAGCTTATGGCAATAAAGAAGCTTAATTTACTGTATTTGTAGACATTACTCTAAACTCACCACCAGTAGTATCGGGCCACGGCTAGCCGGTTCCAGTTCAAAGCCCCGTCCATCCACCAGTAGGTATGCTTGTGCCTGCGCTAAAGCACGCGGAGGAGGCCCTTGTTAGCGAGCATCCTATTTGCTCTTGGCGTTGAGATATAGTCCCTCCTCGCTGTCACCACACTCTTCCTCCAAACGGCCGAAGAGCAGCATCTCGGCATTCTACGCAGGAGCCCAGGTCGGACCGATCTCGACGCGCTTCCATCTTTCTCAGGCCTGCGTATCCATATCGGCTCCTACGAGGACCATCTGCCGACTTTCTATCATCAACTGCCTGATCATGCGGCGCCAATGGCGGTCCTGAGCCGCCATCTGCCTGAGACGAAGCATATAAAGATGCCGCCTGAGGCCTGACTCCGATCCATGTCTCCAAGCCAACGGGTCGACCAAGCCCACCCGCCCCGTCTATCCACATAGCATCAGCTCCAATCCCGCCATGTTGGGCGTTGTCCGCCGCCTCGGGCTCGGCGCCCTTGTCGCCGCAGCTCTCTCCTCCCTCGTGGCCGCCGCGCCTGCCAACGTCGCCGTCCGCTCACTCGAGGAACGGGCCAGCAGCGCAGACAGGCTTGTATTCTGCCACTTTATGGTGTGTTGGGCCGTCCTACTATGGACCGGGGGTTATCCGAGCACCATCCATAGTCATCCTCATAGCACACTCAGGAACATCAAGACTAACATACCGGCATCGATATAGATTGGAATATGTGGCGATCGCACCTCGAGCAGTGACTATGACGACGATATGCAGCGCGCCAAGGCCGCGGGCATCGATGCCTTTGCGCTGAACATTGGCGTCGATGGGTACACGGACCAGCAGCTCGGCTATGCGTACGACGCCGCCGACCGCGCCGGGATGAAGGTCTTCATCTCCTTCGACTTCAACTGGTGGAGTCCCGGCAACGCGGCGGGCGTTGGCCAGAAGATTGCCCAGTATGCGTCGCGGCCCGCACAGCTCTACGTCGACAACCGACCCTTTGCGTCGTCGTTTGCCGGCGACGGCCTCGACGTGAATGCGCTGCGCAGCGCGGCCGGAAGCAACGTGTACTTTGTGCCCAACTTCCACCCCGGACAGTCCTCCCCCTCCACCATCGACGGCGCCCTGAACTGGATGGTAAGTACAAGCGCCGTGACTCGAGGGATGCTCATATACTGACGCGCTGCACAGGCCTGGGACAACGACGGAAACAACAAGGCTCCCAAGCCCGGCCACAACGTCACCGTGGCCGACGGCGACAACTCGTACCGCAGCTGGCTGGCCGGCAAGCCCTACCTGGCCCCCGTCTCGCCCTGGTTCTTCACTCACTTCGGCCCCGAGGTCTCGTACAGCAAAAACTGGGTCTTCCCGGGCGGATCGCTCATCTACGACCGCTGGCGCGAGGTGCTGGCCCAGGGCTTCCAGATGGTCGAGCTCATCACCTGGAATGATTACGGCGAGAGCCATTATCTCGGGCCTCTCAAAAGTCGACACTATGATGATGGGAACTCAAAATGGACCAACGACATGCCGCACGACGGGTTCCTGGACCTGTCGAAGCCGTTTATCGCGGCGTACAAGAACCGGGACACGGACGTGACAAAGTACATCCAGGATGAACAGCTCGTGTACTGGTACCGCAGACACCTGAAAGCGTTGGACTGCGACGCGACAGACACGACGTCGAACCGGCCCGCGAACAACGGCAGCGGCAACTACTTCATGGGCCGGCCCGACGGGTGGCAGACGATGGACGACACGGTGTACGTGGTGGCGCTGCTCAAGTCGGCGGGCACTGTGACGGTGACGTCGGGCGGCGTGACGCAGACGTTCCAGGGCATTGCCGGGGCCAACCTGTTTGAGGTGCCGGCCAACCTTGGCCAGCAAAAGTTCGCGCTGTCCCGCAACGGGCAGACCGTCTTCAGCAGCACGTCGCTGATGGACATTGCCAACGTGTGCCCGTGCGGCATCTACAACTTCAACCCGTACGTTGGAACGGTGCCCGCCGGCTTTGACGACCCGCTGGGGGCTGACGGCCTTGTTTCCCTGACGATCGGACTGCACGTCACGACCTGTCAGGCCAAGCCCTCGCTGGGGACGAACCCGCCCATCACGTCCGGCCCCGCCTCCTCGGTGCCCGTTTCCACCACTCGCTCCACCTCTCCGCCCGGATCCACGACCCGCTTCTCGTCGACGCCGGTTTCGTCTCGCTCCAGCTCTTCTACGCCGCCGGTCAGCACGCCGCCGCCTGGCCAAGTCTGTGTGGCCGGCACGGTTGCTGACGGCCAGTCGGGCAACTATATTGGCCTCTGCAATTTCAGCTGCAAGTGAGTTGACCCATGTCCCATCGCGTTGTCTCTATCTCAGCTAACGTTTGCCAGCTTCGGCTACTGCCCTCCCGGTCCTTGCAAGTGCACTGCCTATGGCGCTCCGGTTAACCCACCGGCGACCAATGGGCGCAACGGATGTCCCTTGCCTGGAGAGGATGATAGCTATCTGGGCCTCTGCAGCTTCAGCTGCAATCACAACTATTGTCCCCCAACGGCGTGCCAATACTGCTAAGCGCAGTTTTGCTGGGCTCCAGCTAAGGCACCGACCCGGAGGGTGCACCAGTGGTCCGTTGAGTATGACGAGAGGTTCGATTGGGAGAGGCAGTTGCTATATATTGTAAATACACATTGTACATAGTCATACGTGCTTGGATATATATGCAATGAACTGTCTTCCCAAACAAGAAGTGGAAGGATTGCGATCTTAAGGCGTGTGATGTTAGTGCATAGAGTGCGATAGCTGACATTTTTTTGCTCTACGGACCGTGGAGTTGCCTTTATGGCAAGGCTTATCGCTACTAGTTTCCATTCCAATCAAGGAGACGGGGAAAAACACCATGGAGCCATACGCCCTAAGCTTTAATAGCAGTTTGTTTATTTGTTTGTTTATTTTATATTAACATCTATAATAAATATTAAAGTCTCCTTAAGGAGTAAAGTAGACGGCCTAAGCTAGCTATATACTAAATATATAAAATATACTAGATATAAGACTACTTAAGGCATATAAGCATAATATAAAGAAAATAAAAGAGTATAATATATAGATTAATATAAAAGCCCTTAGTTATTTTCTTCCTCCTTTTAACCTTATAATACTAATTATATATTAAGTAGCTTATTTAGGCTAGATAATAATAATTAGGTTAATAAAGGATTAAAAAGGCTAATAAAAATATATATAGCTACTCTTTTTTCTTTTAATATTACTAGTTTATATTTATAGTTTAGTTAAAGTAAAAGAAAGGACTATTAGCAGGCTATTATATTATTCCTTTTTAGCTATAGTAAGCAGGCTATAGCTATATATATATTTAATAAAAATAGCTATTATTAAAGGCATTTTATCCTTTAAAAGGAGGCATATCTGTAATAAACCGGCGTTCCTATAATTAGTAAGAACACGTGTTTCTTAAGGGACAAACTGTTTAAGTAAATAGCTCTAATTAAGAGAGCTATTTAAGTTTATATTAGCAGAAAGTTAGGTTAAGTCTTAGGCATAGTAAACAGTTATATAGCTAGTAGATTATAATAAACTAATTCTAATTTAATTACTATATTAATAACTGTCTACTTAAACTATCTAAATAAGTATTATAAATAAATCCTTATATAGCTAGTTATTCTATCTAGATTATTTAATATTTAAATAATCCTATTCCTAGATTATTTATATAAGAGATAATCTATCCCTTAGATTATTAAAGGATTTAATAATCTATTCTTAATTAGCTAATCAGTCTAATATTTATCTAGTACTATCTGCTAAAGGTAGTCCTTAGTTATAACTATAAGTGTTAGGTTATAATAATATCCTTTAAGATATTAATAACCTTATAAGGTTTTACTTATTTTAAAAAGTTTTAAAAAGTATAGTAGCCTTAAAGGCTAAGTAAGAATGCAGTTATACTCTTTTTAAAGTAAAAGAGGTAAAGAAGGGCATAAGTAAATTTAAAGTAATAGAAGATATAATATATATAATAAACTGGCATTCTTATAATTAGTAAGAACATATATTTCTTAAGGGATAAACTGTTTAAGTAAATAGCTTTAATTAAGAGAGCTATTTAGGTTTATATTAGCAGAAAGTTAGGTTAGGTCTTAAGCATAGTAAACAGTTATATAGCTAGTAGATTATAATAAACTAATTCTAATCTAATTACTATATTAATAACTATCTACCTAAACTATTTAAATAAGTATTATAAATAAATCCTTATATAGCTAGTTATCCTATCTAGATTATTTAATATTTAAATAATCCTATTCCTAGATTATTTATATAAGAGATAATCTATCCTTTAGATTATTAAAGGATTTAATAATCTATTCTTAATTAGCTAATTAGTCTAATATTTATCTAGTACTATTTACTAAAGGTAGTCCTTAATTATAACTATAAGTGTTAGGTTATAATATAATATCCCTCTCTTATAGGCCTTATCCTTAAGGCCTTGCCTAGTATTCCTATATAATCTTATAAGTGCCCTGCTCTTTAATAAGTGCATTTTTTATCTCTTTATTTTATTTTATTTATATACTAACTTACTTTTAATAATAATAAAGAGAGTAAGAAAAAGTCTTTATTTAAAAATAAAAAAGCATAAAAGTCTTTTTAATTTTATTATTTATAGCGCTAAGAAAATAAATAAGTATTATTCCTTTTATATTTTTAAAGACTTTAAAGAATGTCTTTTATCTACTGTTAATTTATTATATTATTCTAAATATATATAACTAAATAAATCTTACTATAATATTTAAGGTCTTACTACTAATTAGCTTAACTAAGTATCTGCTTAGCATTTCTATCTAAAAGAAGAGCTTAAGTCTACTAAAGATACTTTTGCTAAAGTAGCTATAAAGGTATTATAACTTTAAAAATAAAAATAATTATAGTATAAGCAGATATATTATGCTATTATATAAGGTATTATAGATTTAGAAAAGCTAGATTATATTAAGCATAAAGAGGCAGAGGCCTTTTATTAAGTAATAGCATCTATGCCTAATTTAATAAATTCTAATATCCTAGCTTCTTTTATTAACCTTATTAATTAGTCTTAATTTAAGTTAGATCTTTTTTTATTAACCTTTATAAGTTTAACTGCTAATAAAAATTATTAACTAAGGCCTTTAAGTGTTTAAGATACTTAATAGATTCTTAAGTATTATTAGCTTTATTATAATTTTTCTATTTTATAAGATATTTTAGCTATTAGGTTTCTTTATTAAATTTTATTTAAAGTATTTATTTAACTTTATATTTAAGTTCTTTACTTTTAATTATAATTTTATTATAAATAATTTCGCCTGTTTCTTTATTTACTACTGCTTTTTTAAGTAGTAATATATAGAAAATATTATATATACTTTATTCTTATTATCCTTTTTTAAGCAGGAGGTTAAGTTTATAGTTAACTTCTTTAATTTATTTTAAAACTTTATATAGTCTAAGTTTCTTAAAGTTAAGCTTATTACTTAGCTAATTTATTTTAATATTTAGTTATTTTTCTCTATATATATACTAAAGTAAGTAAACTATATCTCTTTCTTAAAGAATTAGTCCTTTAATTCTTCTTTAATTTATATACTTACTTATTCTTTTTTATATAAATTTAAGTTATATTCTTATTTTATTATATAGTTTCTTTAGTTAATCTGCTATAATAATTACTTTTTCTGCATTTTTACCTTGCCTTAAAGGTTAAAATGCTTTTAGTTTAAATCTATAGTTTATATAAAATAGAGATTTCCTTATTAATTCTACTAGTATACTATTATATAAGATTTATACTATTAGTAAGTATTTAACCTAGTTATTTTATTTAAGGTTAATATAGTATTATAAGTATATTTTAATAATTTAGTTAATCCTTTTTATTTATTTATTTATTTATAAATAATAAGCAGTATTAACTTTATAGTTTAATCTAAATCTAGCTATAAGTAATTACTAAAATTTTAAGATAAATATTAATCCTTTATTAAAAATAATTTTATTTAGTAGTTTATAGTTAGTATAAATATATTTTTAAAACTAGTATGCTAAGTCTTTAGCTATACTACTTTCTTTAGCTAGGATAAAGTAGCTTATTTTTATTAGTTAATTAACTATTATAAAAATGCTATTTTAAGTTTTTCCTATTATTAATTCCTTTAAAAGTAAAAGCTTAATAATATAGTTAAATAAGATTAATTCCTAAGGCTATATTAAAACCTATAAGGGTTATAACTTTCTATAAGGAAAATAGCGTCTTGCTTTTACTTATTTATATATAATATATTTTAAAATAACCTTTTAAACTATTTTCTTAATACTATTAAATTTATAGTATTATTAAACTTACTAAGTGGTTTTTCTTATTTCTTAATATCTATATATTAAGTATATATAAATTATCTTAACTACTTTCTTTTATAGTTTATTTAATACTTAGATAAGTCTATTTATTATTAAGTAACCCTTCTTTATAAAGGTACCTTCTAGAAACTATTCTTTAGTCTAGTTCTTAATATATTCTTTAATATTATTAATAATTAGATTGTCTTTTTTAATTATAAATATAGTGTTTACTATTTTTAGTACTAGGTTTCTGTCTTTATTATACTATAGTACTTATACTTATATATCTAGGATTTCTTAAAAATAGTCTAGTCTCTTACTAAGTATATTAGCTTTACTATTTTCTATTCTTTTATAATACTTAATAATTAAGTTAAATTCTAATAAGCGTTTATAATACCTAACTTATCTTTATAAGAGTTTCTATATTATAGTAAAGTAAGTAATATTCCTATAATCTATAAGGATTATTATAAGGAATTTACTTCCTTAATAGTAGTTTCTTTAGTATTTTTTATTAAGTGCTATATAAATTACTTTAAATTCCTTATTATAAATAAGGTATTATAATTCTAGCCTATATAGCTTTTTTAAGAAATAAGCAACTAGTTATAGTTTCTTATTTTTATCTAGTTAGCTTAGTACTCCTCTTATAGTATAATCTAATACATTTACTTTAATAGTAATTAGTTTTTTAAGATTAAATATAACTAATACTAGGTTACTAGTTAAAGCCTTTTTTAGTATATTAAATGCTTCTTATATATTAAGTGCTTATAAGAATTTCCTTTCTTTTTTTATAAGTTCTATAAGTAGTATAGCAATCTTTAAAAAGTTTTAAATAAATTATTTATAATAATTAGCAAGTCTTAAAAAGCTTTAGACTTCTTTTATATTCTTTAGCAGTTACTATTTACTAATAGCCTTAAGCTTCTTAAAATCTATATATACTTCTCTAAGCATAATAATATATCCTAGAAATATAACTTTCTATTAGTAAAATTAACATTTCTCTAGTTCTACTAGTAGGTTTACTTTCTCTAGTGTTTTTAATATAAAAGCAATATGCTTTTTATATTCTTTAAGAGTTTTTAAGAAAATAAAAATATTATTAAGGTAAATAATAATAAATAAGTTAATAAATTCCTTTAATATATAGTTAATTA